AACATTTAAAAAGAAGACCAGAGATTTAGCTCAGTGGCATAAGTGCCTGCTTGGCAAGTGTGAGGCTGCAAGTTCGATCCCCAGTACCCCCAAAACAAATTTAAAAAGAAAAGAAAGATAAAAATAAAAAATTGTGCTTTCAAGCTGGGAGTGGTGGCACACACCTGCAGTCTCAGGGTTATAGGAATGGTATCAGGCTCTCCAAATACGATATAAGGGAAATACCTTAGCTTCCAACCTGCTAGATGTCCCTATGCCGAGGCTGTGTTCTCTAAATTCGAAGCAGAAACAAAGGAGGTTAAGGGTAGGAAATATTTATAGAGAGGGACAGCTATAGCTCCTGAGAGCCAAGTGGGTTGCCAAGGACCCTGATTCTCAGAGGAAGTTTTATAGAGCACAACCATGTGGGTGCAACGTGGGTTAGAGCTATGATCAACCAATAAGATCATCAGTGTGGTCCCTCAGGTGGCAGTGACCCAGTGGGGAGTAAGTGTGCAGGAAGGGCATGCAGAAAGAAGGAAACTTTTCAGGGAGGGATGAGTCCGAGGGTCTTGGTCACCTGCTGAGGTGACTGATGTCTGTCTAGACTTCATTAGACCACGTGCTACCACCTCTGTCAGATGCGGTCATTCCATTTTTATCTTTTTTTTTCCCTTTTTTTTATCAGTACCAGGGATCGAACTCATGACTGCCTGCTTGCAAGGCAGGCGCTTATGCCGCTGAGCTAAATCCCCAGCCCCTCATTTTTATCTTAAGGCCTGGCCTCTAACAGATGTACCTCCGGCCATAATTGTAATGAGTTTTCAACTTTGCCCTGACTCCTTCGAGGGCCCGGCCCCATCTGACTGCCTATAGTATTTCTATGTAACTCAGCTGTGTACGACAGCAGCACTTGGGAGGCTGAAGCAGGAGGATCACCAAGAATGCTAGGCCAGCCTGAACTGCATCGCAAGACCCTGTTTCAAAACACAAACAAAACCTACTGGGCTTATACCTTTCACCTATAAAGATGGGCCATTATCTATGGGAGAGCATCTTTTCCAGTTTCCATGACCCAAAAGAAATAAAACATTCCCAGTTCCAAGAAATGAGGTGCCAGTCTCTCTTTTGAGGTCCTACACTCCATATCTTTGAGTGTATACTTTTAAAATTCTGTCTAATAAATCCTTTATCCCTCTTACTGACGCATCTTGAAAATTCTTTCTTGTTTGCTTTTGTTGTTTTGGTGAGATAGGATCTCATCTCGATAAGCAGTTCAGGCTGTATTTGAACTCACTAGGTGGCCCAGGCTGGTTTCAGACTTGTATGAACCCTGCTGCCTCAGCCTCCTGAGCGCTGGGATAGGCTGCACAGGTCAATATTCTCAGCCCTGAGGAAGAGTCGTAGGAGGTGCACCTTGGGTACACCAGTAAGTCTTAAAGGGAGAGCCCTCAGGGATGAGCTAAGTGGCCATGCAAGGGAACAGAGAGTGGTTTGTTCCCTTCAGTCTCAAGCAGACTGGCAGTCTGCAGCCCAGCAGAGGCCCTGCACGGGGACTGTGTGAACAGCCTGCTGCAGAGCCTCCGTCTCCAGGACTGTGTGAGATAAATTGTGTCGTGTGGGAGTCCCGTAGATGATAGTGTTTTGCTGTCGCAGTCTGGATGCCATGCCTGCCACAGCAGCCTTGCTCTCCAAGGTCACCAGCAGCCTCTGTGCTAAGGCTAAACCCCTCTCACACATTTCAGCCTCTCTTCATGCTCTTCTGTAGCGTTGTCTCTGAGTCACCCCATCAGCTCTGATCCCACCCACTCCTTCGAGCATCCTCCTCAGATTCCAGTTATTGCTCTTCAGGGTTCTTGGAGGATTTCTCTTCGGCCTGCCATTAAAATGGTGAGTGTTCTTCAGGGTGCTACCTGCGGCCTTCTCTCGGCACTCACGCCCTCTCTTGGGACCATCTCTTCCGTTTTCATGGCTTCTGCTAGCGCATTTTGCTGATGATTGCCAAAGCCAAACCACAGCTCTCTCTAAACACACACTGCTTACCCGACATCTCCATTTAAGTGGAATTCAGAAAAGAAAACAGCTCTGGACCCGGGATGCAGCTAAGTGGCAAATCAGGCTTACCTGACTTGTAGGAGGCTCTGGGTTCAATCCCCAGCACTGGAAAAACAACAAAACAAAACAATAACAAAATGAGCTTGGAGCTGAAATGCCACTCAAAGCCTTTTTCGTCACTGACCTATGTGGCACTTACCTCTCTTTCCCTCCAGCAAATCACAAGGTCCTGCTCCACTGGATGTTTGCAGTGGTGTAATGGAACAATCTAATCAATGGTGCTTAGTCCAGAGCATAGCAGTGACCTGAGAGCATCAGACAGTGTGGTAATTAAAGGCGCTGTGGCTGAGGGTGTAGCTCTGTGGTAGAACTGAACTTAGCAGCTCAAGATAGCTTGGGACAGTGTAGTGCAACAGATTCAAAGGCAAATTCATGACCAAATCTCAAACCTTCTCTTGTCCCAAAAGATTGGGTCCAAAAAGTCCCAAAAGATTGTCCCAAATCTCAGTAAATAGCATCACTACCCAATCAGCCAGAAGTCTAGGTATTGTCAGGAAACAAATTTCCTGACCACAGCCTGCTGCACAACAATCCTGGGAAGGATTATCCTGCCTGTTTTACAGCTACAGGACAGAAGCACAGGGAGGTTGAGTAACGCACCCAGGATGTTATGAGTGGCAAAGCTGGTATAGAAGCCCAGGCAGCCTGGCTTTCATCTCCGTGCCCACAACGGCTGAGCTCAATGCCATGTACTCTACTGCCACACTCCCACTGCATTTCGATTGCCTTGTGCCCTGGATAGATTGTGTGTTCTTTGTAATCAGGGACTCTGATTGTTCATAGTAATGTTCTCAGCAACGGGAACAGTGCCAAACAAAAGATATACAAAAGGCTGATACAGCCAACCAGTTAAGTGAGTCTTCAGAGATAAGACAGAGTAAAGTGTAAAGTAAGACACCAAGCTACACTCAGTTACAGAAAGGATTATAGCTTTATTTATTTATTTTTGGTCTTTTTGAGTCAGGGTCTCACTATGCTCACTTTGAGCTCACTTTGTAACCCAGACTGGTCTTAAATTTGCAGGGACCCTCTTGCCTCAGGCCGAGGGCTGGGATTATAGGAGTGTGCCACCATGCCTGGCTGGTTTACAGGTTTGTTTTAGGCAGTTGAGGTTTTGATTTTGTTTTTGTGCTAGAGATTGAACCCAGGGCTTTGTGCATCCTGAACATGGGTTTACCACTGAGCTATACTCGCAATCCTGAACTTTTTTTTTGATCTGAGGATTAACAAATAGAAGATTGGAGTCACAGATCACAGAGGAAGGATTTAAGAAGACGTTAATGGGCTGAGGTTGTTGCTTAGTGATAGAATGCTAGTTTAGCATGTATGAAGCCCTGGATCCAATTCCCAGCTGTGAAAAGATAAAGATATTAATATTCACATACTCCACAGATATTGCAGGGAACAGGCATTTTTTGTTTGTTTATTTTGAGGCAATGTAACTTACACTGGCTTTGAACTTGTATAGCCCAGGCTGGCTTTGTTGTAATTCTCCTGCCTCAGCCTTCTAGAGTGGTAGGATTACAGTGTGCACCATCCCGCCCAATTTAAGGAAAATTTAACACTCTTGTGAAGGAACTCCTAGACTTTAAAGTACAGTCACTTAAAAAAATTATTTTTGTTTTATTTTAAGAAAGAGGCCACTATCTCCTCTCATGCCACTTTTAGATTGTGTTAAAGGACTCAATTGGAATTGGAATCGTGTTAAAGGACTCGATTCCAATTCTAGGGCTCATCTGCTTCAGACTGGATCTAAGAATTAAAATTTAAATTGAGGGAATACATACAAATGTAAGCTCCAGCAGTGTTCCAATTTGCCAGGGGGGTCATTTCAAGGGTTTAGTCATTTTATATTTGTCACCACCTGGTGTGTCATGTGTGCAGAGGGGACTACTGTGTCATAATACACAGACATTGGTTTTGTTAAACAGTATCGAGAAAAATGCTTGCTGTGCAGACCTTGACAGCCCCAAGAGACGGAAATGAAGACTGCATGCCTAAATCCCTCCCTTTTTATTCCATCTGCTCTCTCTGCTCCAGACCTTCTTCCCCGCTCCCTGCTCCCCAGGGCTATTCCCTTAATCTCTCTCCATCTGCGAACCTCCATCCTGTGCCACCATTGGGAGATTTCTCCGAGGCACCTGGGCCCAGCAAAACAGTATTTTCTTTTTCTCCCACTAACCCAGCGCAAACCAGGGCTCTCAATCTTCTTTGCGAGATGATGCCAGGATCCAGTAAGCCGCTGTGTATAATCATCATCTACATCAGCGGTCTAGCCTCAGGTCCTGAAGTCGGGTCCACAACTCCAAAGCCTCTTTGATGTACTTTCTTTCTCTCCCCTCCATGACCTTTTATGAAGTGTAATTATGGTTTATCATCAGCAATAAATTAAAGCTTTTAAACCATCAAGACAATATTAATAATTTTTTACCCCTGAAAGCCAAGGTAGAAGAAATGCTTGCCTAAAACAAATAACGATAAATAATCTAACAGAATGGTCCCAAGCACTGACAGAAAGAAAGAAAGAAAGAACAGTGTGATCTATATCTTCAATCATGGCCATGTTACAGTAGGATTATTTTCAACTCACTTCTCAGACCTGCTGGGCAAGAAAAAGAGCCAGCCCAAACTGGAAAAAAAACAACCCACCAATTATCTTTGATGCCTGGTAAATAGCGTGCGCTAGAGGATAAGGCTATTCTGGCTCCCCCATATGCTTGCTTTCTTTTTTCATGTGTCCATCCTCCTCCCTGGAAGCTGCGGGGTGGGGAGGTCTAAAAATAGCCAGTGAATCACAGAGGCTAACACTGTGCTGTGGTTACATAAACAGCGCCCCCCTCCCCGGGCGGCGGCGCGGCGGGTCGGAACGGAAGAATCTGGGTCAGGGGTGTCACATCGAATAGGGTCCCCCGCAACCGGCCTAGGAGGCGCGGCTGGGGAGGAGGCCTGGGCCTGCGGGCCGCGAGCAGCCGGGCATTGGCGGGCGCAGGGCGGGCGGGCGGCAGCGCAAGCTCCCGGCAGAGTGCGAACGGGGCGGGGAGCCCCGCGCTGTCTCCCCATGGCCGGCAGCCGGCCGCGAAGACGGCGGCGGCGCTGACAGGCCTGGGGTGGGGCGGGGCGGCCGGGGCCCAAGGCCTGGGAAAGATGAGCGCGCTCCTCGAGCAGAGGGAGCAGCAGGAGCGACTGCGCGAGGCCGCGGCCCTGGGGGACATCCGGGAGGTGCAGAAACTGGTAGAGAGCGGGGTGGATGTGAACTCCCAAAATGAGGTCAACGGCTGGTAAGTGGGGAGCGAGGGAGGCTCAGGGTTAGGGCCTGAGGCCCCGGGTGCGGGACAGTTGGCCTCGGGTGGGCCCAGCGCTGTCCATGACGCCCTGGAGCCAACCCCGGTGGCGTCGCCCGCACTCTGGGGCCCCTCAGTGCTCGCTGTCCGCGCTTTTCCCTCCCTGTGGCTGCTTGGGCCTGAGCAGTGCTAGGGACTGTGGTTCCTAGCGAGTTCACGCTGGCTGGTGCTCATCCTGGTTATTGTTAAAGGAGCTTCTTCGTGCAGAGACGCAAGGTTGAACCACCTAGGAAGCAGGAATCTTAGGGATTCCCTCGATTTCTGTTTTTGATTTTTGTTTTTGGTGATAATTTGCCTGGTAATGCCGGGTAAACTTGAAATCTCAGGCTGGCCTCAAACTCACAGTGATCCTCCTGCCCCAGCCTTCTCAGCGCTGGGATTACAGGTCTGTGTCACCACACCTGGCCCTCCCACAATTTCTTTAGCCAAAACTAAAAGTCAAAACAAAAAGCAAACTCACTACTTGCGTCACTCTTGTGCCTCGCTGTTTCATATTACAACTGTGATTTGCTGCAGCCTGCAACTGCCTGTTGAGGAAAAACTGATTTGTTTGTCTTACAGAATTGCTTTGTGTGCTATTGTAATTTTCAGTAGGGAATTTCATCAAAGGCTTTAAGTGGCTGTCCACCCACACATATTGCGTCCTTTAAACTAAATGAATCTGCCTTTTTTTTGGAGACAGTATTTCTATGTAGTTCTGGCTAGACTTGAAATCACATTTACATGCCTCCTGCCTCAGCCTCCTGAGTGCTGGGATTACAGATGTGTACTACCACGCCAGGCCCCAACAAGTCTTTTCCCTAAATAAAAATCCTGGATAGGTATTCAGAAAGCCAGGGAACTAAAAGTAGGGTGTTTTGTTTACAACTGTTTGCAAACTTGCCCTTGTGTGTGTACTTTGCGGAACACTGTTCAAAGCTGTGTGTTACTGTTCCGCCACTAGGAGGCAGTGTTGTACTAATGTGCAAGCCTGGATCTCACGCAGGCTCTTCTCCCTGCCTGCCTGGCGATGTGACCCTATGAGTCTCTTCTTGCTCCATTTCAGAACACTGTTTTGAGATGAAGGATATTGACCAGGCTTATGTACCTTCGTCTCCTTTGGGGGTGTAGCTGTCTCCATTTTATAGATGAAGGGACTCAAGCCCAGAAATTTCTTCACTTTGTAAAATGCTCCTAAACTAATAAATTTAAGATTTAGTAATTGTACATCACTATTAGAATTTACATAATTAGCTAGGCATGGTGGCACACACGTAATCCCGTCACTTCAGAAGCTGAGGCAGGAGGATTGCCCTGAGTTTAAGGCTAGCCTGGGCTACACAGTAAGACCATGTCTCAAAACACTTAAAAAAACAAAAGTTTAAAAAGATAACCAATTCATAGGGTTTGTGGTAATTAAATGAGGTAATGTATTTTAAAAATGTCTTCAGCACAATATTTGATATACCTTAAATATTTTGCTTAAGGCTGGGGATAAGCACCTGCTTGCCAAGTTTGAGGTCCTGAGTTCGATCCCTGGTACAAAAAAAAACTTTCTTTGAGTGGCTTAAAATGCTTTCCCCTTGATTGCTCTCTGTCCTCCTGCAGATCTGGGATGTCCTTTCATGGTAAGCCCTTTCCTTAGCCTTCACTTTAAAATGGCATAGGAGCTGGGGATTTAGCACAGTGGCACAAGGACCTGTCTGGCAAGCGCATGCTCATGAGTTCAATCCCCGGTACCAAAAAATAAATAAAATGGCATAAAGCACCTCCCCTCCTTTGTTATTCTCTAATCTCCAGCCCTGCTTTGTGGTCCCTATTATACTACTCACTGCCTTGCATACCCCATGCTTTGCTTGTTTGCTGACTGCCTCAGTTTCCTCATCTATAAAATGAGTAGATCTGGTGGCACCTGTTGAGTATTGAAATCCCAAATATTGTGTGCAGGGGACCAGGGATTTAGCTCAATGGCATAAGCACCAACCTGGCATGTGAAAGGTCGTGAGTTTGATCCCTGGTACCAAAAAAAAAAAAAAAAAAAAAAAAGGAAGAAGCAGCCAAATACTGTGTGCAATCACCCAAGTATTATAATCCTCTTTCTAGTTATCCTCTCAAACCAAAAAGTTATATTTGTAATCCCACTGAGACATCATTGGAATCCCAGCAAGTTAATTCCAGTCTCCCACCACCAGTGCAACCCACATCGAGAGTAAAGACACCAAGACAGATTCCAAGTTAAGGGCAGCCAGGGGTTCCTAAATCCAATCCCCAAAAGGATGTGGGGACAAAGACCCTGATCCTCTCCCAGAATTTATTATCTTGGGAAGAAGGGGGAGTGACTCGGGGATGAGTGACAGTGAGGAACTTGAACTGGCTGGCCAGGTGGGAGAAAGAGATATGCACAATTCACATAATCTAATTAAGGTAGCGATGGAATTGTTTTGAGAGGCTGTGGCTTTGATTGCTGGTATGCAAACTCTTGTGCCCTGGGGAGTCACAGCCTCTTTTCCTTGAGGCTCATACCCAGTTGACATTCTAGGGGCTGACTGGCTCTAACATCCCACTGTGCTCATATCCTGCACGGAGAACACTATGTGAGGAAACAGGACTGACTGTTGGCTTTAGAGATTACACCAGCACCTCTGCTGGCCTTATTTACAATGCTTAGAGCTAATTGAAGAGAGAAGGAACTACCATAGCCAGCTCTCTACAAATCAGTATAAGGAAATAAGTCGCCAAATAAATCAAAGTCGCAGTAATTGTTTTGCATTCAAGGGGAGTCGCTGGACTGTCTCCCCACAGTTGAAACTAGTGCTTAACTCATCGTGGGTTGTTTTGTTTTTGTTTTTTTGTCTTTTTGAGACAGGGTCTCACTATGTAGTTCAGGCTGGCCTTGAACTCACTTTGTAGCCCAAGCTTGTCTTGAACTCGCTACAGTCCTCCTGCCTCAGCCTTCCTAGTGCTAGGATTACAGAAGTGTGCCACCATACCTGCTGCATTTTCTTTTTGATATGGGGTATCCCTCCATTGCCTTGGCTGGCCTTCAACTCCCAGAATCCAGTGGCTCACCTGCCTCAGCCTGTCAAGTAGCTGGGATCAGTTAGACACGCGATGCACACACCTGGCTCCCTATGGCTTGACAGTCTAGTGAGTCACCAGAGAGAGAGCCTCTAGAACAGAGTCCAACACGAGAAGGGTTGTGTCTGTGTAGACTGCTGCTGCTGTTTCCTTACTAGGAAGCAGTATGGTGGTAGTGGCAGGTGCTTCCTTAGCTCAGAGAAGTAGGGTGGGGCTGTTCCCATCCTTAGTTGCCCAGGGACCACAGTTTCAGCTGTGATGGGTGATGCCCAGTGGTCGAGGGCGGCCACCCCTGATCTGAAACGTGATCCAGCGCTGGCAGGATGCTGTGACGGATAGTGCAGTCTAAGGACCTGACTCATCCGTAGCCATCCTGGCCCTCGCATCCCCCAGCACTGGGGTACAAGTGCCAGGGGTCGAGAAGGAGCTGAGAGTCCCGCCAGGCTGCTGTTGCTGCATTAGGGCTGCTGGAGCCCCATAGCGTGGGCTGGCAGCGATGACCACAGAGGGCACAGGGCCGTGGGAATGTGCCATGTTGACTTAACCCCACTTTGCAGGGTGACACTCGCCAGTCAGTGTGTCCTGGAGTCACCGTGACCCAGGTGCAGTAAATTACCTCCTTGGCTTCCCAGCTTGTCACGGATAAGTGATTTACTACACACAAGCCAGCACTTTACATCCAAAAGGGCCACATTTCCCCCATCACTCGCCATTCGGTTTTGCATCCTCAAATAATTATTATAAGTGAGGCCTGTGCCACAGACGTCCACACACAAACACTCCAGGCTGCAGTTTGCCCGGAATCAGGGCTTCAGATCCTTGTATTCTAAGCAAGTCTACCTTATTTTATCCTCAGTTCATTCAGCCACTAATAAGAGTAAAGCACCGGTACCCGCTGGGCCAGTGCTTTCTTATCTTCGTGGAGCTTAGGGTTGAGATGCTTTGGCTGGGCGTGGAGCTTGGTGGTGCAGCCCTTGCTTGTGTGACGCTGTTTTTCCATCCTCATCTCGGCCCAAGACAAGCAGCAGCAATAACAACTGCGGACTCATTTTCTTCACATGGGTTGTAATTTCATCGCAGAGTACACCACAGAGGCCCCTGGATAATCTCATTCTGGTGATAATAGTGTAGGATGTCACTCTAAACGTCAGTGGAGCTGTTCCCAGCCAGCCACACAACCCAGCTTTTTGTTAGTTACTAATGTTGAGGTGCCCAGGGCAAATCAGCCCTTTCCAGGAACCAGTCATTGTCCTTCCCGGGTTAGTGGCCTGATCGGCGCACTGGGACACATGTCCTGTTCTTGGTGATAAGAACACGGCCCACACTTAGTGATAAGCCCGGAAGATATTCATCTCAGTTCTGTGAGGGAGGTGGCAGTGAGGGCATTTCAGACCCCTAGGAAAAATGTCTTTTCTTTCTGGACTGTGCATTCAGTCTTGGCACCTAGGGGTGAACTCAGTAGCTCCAACTCCTCTAACTTCTAGGATGGTGGAGTTTTTCTGCCAGCATGCTAATTACATTTCTATAGAGGATTAACGTAGTAGCCCCCTTGGAGTATGCAGAACCACCTCCTATGTGTACACTACTAAATCATTTGCTTTACTTAAATGAGCCTGGTCATTCCGAGTCTGGTCTTGAAACACCGAGGTGCTGGTGTGTGCATTTTAAGTGCCTTTGAAGGGAAGGTATGTGCACAGAACCTTCCATCTAAGCAAATGAGGATAGGTTGGAGCCTTCTGGAGAGAATTCGGGAAGCCAAGTTTTTTTTTTTTTTTTTTTTTTGTCTTTTTCCTTTTTATTGGTACCAGGGATCGAACTCACGACTGCCTGCTTGCAAGGCAGGCGCTTATGCCGCTGAGCTAAATCCCCAGCCCCGAAGCCAAGTTTTTAAAAATGGAAATTTGGATATTCAGACTGTGGAGGGGTGAAAGACAAGGGGAGAAGAGAGGGAGACTGAGGTTCCTGCAGGTGTATCTGCTGTAGTGCTGCTTAGCGACATGCCGGGCTGCAGAAGAAAGATGGTTTCATCCTCCAGTGACACTGGATATGTAGGAAGTGAATCATCACCGTCTCTGAACAGGAAGGAGGTGACATAGAAGTACATTTGGAAGAGCCTCAGAGGCTGTAATGGGTGTTACTGATAGAGTAATAGCCGAAGCATCACTGGAATTAGCCACCCTTCTGGAAACCACTGAAGTAAAAGCTGCTAGGACCATTTCTCCCAGGAGTTGGGATTTTTTTTTTTTTTTTTTTTTAATGCTGGAGATCAAACCTAGGGCTTGGCATGTTAGGCAGGGGCTCATCCCTGGACCCAGAAATAAAACTTATGTTTTAAGCTGTTAAGTACTTTGATCATTTGCTTTGAGAAATAAAGAGCTGAGATTACCAGTGGGTCTCTAGCTGAACTCTGTTCTAACGAGCCTACATATATTTATGTACTGATGTGTAGAATGTCACTCTCAAACCCCCCACGCTTTTTTCTTTCTTCTGGGACAGGACCTGTTTACACTGGGCGTGCAAACGCAACCACGGTCAGGTGGTCTCTTACCTGCTAAAGTCAGGGGCTGACAAAGAGATTCTGACCACCAAAGGGGAAATGCCGGTGCAGTTAACATCAAGGAGAGAGATCCGGAAGATCATGGGAGGTGAGTCCATGTTTTGGGGAAACATTGGATTTTAACAAAGTAATTTCAGGCTTGTGGTATCATGGACCTCATTTTTTTTTTTTTTTCTTTTCATTTTTTTGAGACAAGGTCTCGCTATGCAGTTCAGGCTGGCCTTGAGCTCACTTTGTAGCTCAGACTGGCTTCGAACTCCTAGCAATCCTCCTGCCTCAGCCTCCCAAGTGCTGGGATTACAGGCATTTGCCCCCACACCTGGCTGGATCAACCACATTCTTGATGCCGGGCAATGATTGTGCCAGTTCCATATTATTTCTGGGGAGGTCAGAATCATAAGGCTTCTGTTTAGTTTTGGTCTTGGTAAAACTGAAGAGAGTGAGAAAATGTAATTAACAAAATATTCTTTTCCCGGGGCTGGGGATTTAGCTCAGCGGCATAAGTACCTGCCTTGCAAGCAGCCAGTCGTGAACTCAATCCCTGGTACCGATAAAAAAAAAAAAAAAAGATTAAAAAAAAATATAGTATTCTTTTCTCGTCTGACCCGAAGAACCAATAAATACTCACCAAAATTCATGTCACATCCAAAAAGCCGGAAGACTTTCTTCAGGTGGTTGTTAAAGGGCTGTGTAAGTGTTCTGTGTTTTCTTCTCTTGAAGCGGAAGAGGAGGAGGAGGAGGGCGATAGCCTCCCCCAGCAGCAGGAGTCAGAGATGCCCTTCGTTCCCAACTACTTGGCCAACCCGCCTTTCCCCTTCATCTACACCCCGGCGGTAGAAGACTCAGCCCCGCTGCAGAACGGGGGCCCTTCCACTCCCCAGGCCTCGAGTCCCAAGGATGGCTCCCCTCCGATGCTGCCCCCAGGGGAGCCACCCCTTCTTGGGGCCTTCCCCCGGGACCACACTTCCTTGGCGCTGGTGCAGAATGGGGACGTCCCTGCCCCTTCTGCCATCCTCAGAACACCAGAAAGCACAAAACCGGGGCCCGTGTGTCAGCCCCCGGTGAGTCAGAGCCGCTCCCTGTTCTCTTCTGTCCCGTCCAAGCCACCCATGTCTCTGGAGCCTCCAAACGGGACATTCGCAGGGCCAGCACCAGCCTTCCAGCCCTTCTTCTTCACTGGAGCGTTCCCATTCAGCATGCAAGGTGAGGCCCGTCAGGGAGCAGCCTCTGCTGCAGGGCCGCGCTCATGTCTGCTTCTGCCCTCTGCGGAATGACAGGCTTAGAGGAGCGTTGTGGGGCCGTCCAGGGAACGCCTTTTACTCAGAAAGTGTTTACCTTTTGTCCTCCTGCCCTGAAATACTGAAGTATTGCTCCTATTGTGGCTTTGCTAGAAACAAGGGTATTCTGTTATGTAACTTTAGTAGAAGCGTCAAACTTAGGGAATATGTCAGAGGTGGTGGTATATACCCATAATCCCAGCTACCCAGGAGGAATGGCCAGCCCAGGCAATTTAGAGTCTGTTTCAGAGTAAAGAAAAAAAAATTTTTTTTTTTTTGTCTTTTTCATTTTTATCGGTACTGGGGATTGAACTCACGACCGCCTGCTTGCAAGGCAGGTGCTTATGCCGCTGAGCTAAATCCCCAGCCCCTAAAGAAAAATTTTTAAAAAGTGTTGGGGAATGTAGCTCAGTGTGAGGCCTTGGGATAGTCCTCCAGTAAATACACACACACACACATTTTAAAAATGCAACATTGATGTGAGACGGAAAGATCAAGTTTGAACTTGATCTTTATATGATCTATATATGAGTTCAGTGCTAGCCTGGACTGCATAACAAGATCCTCCTGCTTCAGCCTCCTTAGTGCTGCGATTACAGGTATGTAATAATGTGCCTGGCCTGTATTTAAGTTTTGTCAGCAGCCTCAGCAGTGTTCCTGTGGCTGTCCCCCACCTTAATTCCCCTGCTTCTGGCCCAGGATCTCTCACTGCATGTAGTGATCAAGCCGTTTATCTCTAATCTGGAACTTTTTCCATCCTTTCTCTGCTCTTACCACCTCCATAGTTTTAAGAGTTCAGGCCATTTGTTTTATAGAATGTGATCTTCTTCTCTTCCTTCTTTTTTTGCGTTTTTAAATTTTATTGGTACTGATCAATTCATTCATCATAGAGAATTTGTACCTATACATAATATATCTTTTTTCCCCCAAGTCCATTGTATTTCAAGGAAAAGAAAAAGCAGAAAAAATCTAAAACAAAATTTAAAAACATCAGTCAGGGGCAACAATGGTGCGTACATTGCACATTGTCATCCCATCGTTCACCCAGAGCACAGGGCATGATGACTCTTGGTGCTGCTTTTTTTCCCACTCCCGTCCTCTCCTTTCAGCCCCCTTCCCCTCCTTATTTATAAAAGCTTTGTTTCCATTTTTCCTTCTGTTCTCTTTTTATCTTGTGCCCTCTTTCAGAATATAACCTTCAGTGTAAGGAAGGCTTTCCCTTCCCCATTTGTTTCAGCCTAGGACTCACACATTCTTATATTCACTGGGTTTAATCTGTTCCCTTGTTATTTTGACACTTACCCTGTTCCCTGTTCCCCTGCTTTGGCGGGTGGGAGCCCCTGAAAGCCTGTCCTTACGTCCCTTGGACATGTCCCCATCATTCCTGGAGTACTTCTTCACTTTCTAGTTCATGGAGACGTCCCAGTCTCATAGTGTGACTCCCCCTCCCCAGCCTGGGGGCAGCCTTTTCTCTAAGCTGCCCTGGTTCTTTTTGGTAGAGAACAATATTTAGAAACCAGGATGTGGGCACAGGGCATTCTCATTCCTGCACATATGGCATTTGTTTTAGGCTTACACAGAGGACTGAGCTAGGAAAGAAAGAAAAAGCAGTCAGGTGCAGTGGAGCACACCTGCAGACCTAGCATTCTGGGAGGCTGAGGCAGGAAGATGGCAAGTTCAGGCCCACTTAGCAACTTAATAAGACCCTGTCTCAAAATGAAAAGTTTGAGAAAGATACATTGATGTAGCTCAGTGCAAAGGCTCTGGGTTCAATTCTCAGTACTACCAAATAAATAAATAAATAAAGATAAACGTAATTTGTATACACACACCTACAGTGTTTCTGTGTCTACGTATCCATATGATTTTGAGAACACTGGAAACCATAGATCATGCTGATGGCTCCAAGTCCAAATACCACAAGGTGGTACCTGGTCTTTCCTCGCTCCCTCAGACCAGTTTGAAGTCTTCGGCCCTTAGCTCCAAGGACAGAAGTGAACTATCTGTCACACACTGGGACGGTTGCCCCTGCCCGCTTTGGTTTGGGGAGCCGCAGCCTTAGATGTGGGGGAGACAGCTGGGGACACGCCTCTGAGACTGGGCCTCAGTGGGCCTCCCATAGCTCTGGGAGATCTCACATTCTGGGAGCAGCCGTCGCCAGCCAGGCCAGCTACTCATTCCCGTTTCTCCTTCTTTCCCAGAGTTGGTACTTAAGGTGAGGATTCAGAACCCATCCCTGCGAGAAAACGATTTCATTGAAATCGAGCTGGACCGACAGGAGCTTACTTACCAAGAACTACTCAGGGTGAGCTGCTGCGAGCTGGGCGTCAACCCAGACCAGGTGGAGAAGATCAGGAAGCTCCCCAATACCCTGCTGAGAAAGGTAGGCCTGCGGTCCCGGTCCCGGGCAGTTCTGCTGCGCTGAGAAACCCTACCCTCCTCCCTCCTCCGGTGTGAGCTGTGGTTGAAGAAATGGAAACAGAACAGAAAAGGAGCTCGGTTTCCTGAGTGGCGACCGAAGCACTCATTCCCCCACTGAGTCACAGAGAGTGTACACTGGTGGTTTTGGAAGTTGTGAGGGGCCGGAAGGTGGGAACGTTGTACGTTCTGCTCACCCTGCCGGTTTCTGCTGCCCCTTTGGGGACTGCTTTAGGGTTATTGTGTGCAACATTAATGTGCTTGGTATATTACAGGATAAAATCCAAGTTACTCTGTAAGACAGACACACTCAGGTACAAGTGTGTTTTCCATCTTGAGCGTCAGGGTGGCTCTGATGCAAGTGGACCCATTCGCTGCCTGTCCCTTCAAGGCCCTGCTCCTGCAGCTCCTGCCCTCTGCCCCCAGCTCATGCAGGGGACCTGATCATGTTCTTCCTGCTGCAGGGACTTTATTGGCTGTTGCGATGATGTGGTACCCGGGTTCTGGTCTCGACACAGCAGCTCCTCTTAACCTGTTGACCTGTTTTGTTTTAGGACAAGGATGTTGCTCGACTCCAGGACTTCCAGGAGCTGGAACTGGTTCTGATGATAAGTGAAAATAACTTTCTGTTCAGAAACGCTGCCTCCACCCTGACTGAAAGGCCTTGCTACAACAGGAGAGCTTCCAAACTGACGTACTAACGCGGCAGGGACTTTTATCACTGAGTATTGTGACAGTGCGTGTCACCTCTGGGCCAAGGACAAGCCATTGATCCCAAAGCCTCGAATGCCCGCGAGGGCCCCAGTGCCACTGCGCAGCGTACCCTGCCAAGGCAGGAAGCCCTTCCCTCACCCAGCCTTGGTGCCGGCTTCCAGGCCTCTTGGTGCACAGCAGACCTGTCTGCCTCCGGGCCGAGCTGCTGGGAGGGACGCACAGGGCTCCTGCCCTGGTGTGTCCGCTCCCGAGATTGTGGACCAATGGCGGGAAGGCCGGGGAAAGCACAGGCACTGGCTGAGGGGTAGGGGTGCGACGGGGCTGCGAGGTTTCCTCTAATGTATTTACAAATGTTACTCAGGTTAAAGTATTTAAGAATACAGTTACCTAATTGTAAATAGCTGTTAACCAAAAGAGTCCCCCCCTTCCCCACTTCCCCTGATGACCCTCAGCCTGCTTTGGCCCCGTCCTATCTGTGTTGGCTCCCCATCGCGTCACTAGAGGGCGCTCCGACACTTTCCGGAGGGGCAGCCCTGTCACTGACCACAGCGTCGGAGAAGAGCACAAGCTTTGCGGGCTGGCTCCCCACTCTCATCCTCCACCAGAAGTGAAAAAGCGGATTTTGAGCCTGATTCGGTCGCTATTTTAAAAGTTATTGTGGGAAACTGAGCTAAAGGAGTTAGCATCTTTATTTTTGTATCAAAGATAAAGGTTATTTTGAAATTATTAAGATTTTTACACAACTCTGAAATCTGTTGCTTTTGTAAACCAATCGTTTGATCTTAGGGGCTCCCCCACCCCTCCACTCAGCAAAGCGAGTTGTGAGTCTGCCAGACCTAACCGAAGGCAAAGGCAGGAAGGAACTCCGGATCAAACTCTGCGCGAGGTGTAAGAATCTGTTCCAAGTGTGCGTTCAAGGGTTCTTTCCCTTTCTTCAGTGTCATTCACGGTACAGGAGAAGCCAATGTCTTGCTGAAACCAACAGCTTAGCCTTAGAGCTAGGAGCCCAGACCGACACCCGCGGGTGCAGACCCCCAGGAGGAGCAGTCCTGCTCTTAAGCAGTCCGCTCCCCATAGTGCCTATAGTTTTCAGAGAAAGGGGCCTTCTGGTAATTCTGTTAGAACACTGCACTTAGCGGGAGCACGCAGAGGGTGTCACGGATGGGCCGGATCGGACCGTGGGGCTGAGTTGACGGCCTCCTGCTGCTGCTGCTGCTGCTGCCTGGAGATCATAGTGGGAGGCCCAGATGTTCTTCCCAGCCAATTGCTCGACTGGTTAGTGACTTGTGCCCACTGGCTCCTGCTGGTGACACACACCCTGGGAGTGTTCGCAGAGCAAAGGTTGCTGGTCGCCTCCTCTCCAGTGCTTTGAGGAAGAGCCCTCTCTTGTGTTCCATCCAACCCAAAACTACTTTCTCTAGGTGTACTGACTTTTTTGCTTTTTTTCCCCTTTGCTTTGAAAACTCACAATTCACTAATACAGTTAATTAAGTGTGAATATCCTGGAAGAAATAAATGCAGTATTAATTCATGTCTGAATTACTGAGGTTCTACTCTTCAAGCTGCCTCGATTAATTAGAGACTCCTAGGAGCAGTGAGGGCCCTGGTCGGGAGGGGATCCGCAGAGGGTCCTGGGGGTGCGCCCTGGCTCAGGCAGACAGCGCTGGTGTCCCCAGAGGGGCCGGGCCCAGGCTCTGCCTCCTGCCTTGCTCTGGTCTCCAAGCCTTTGAGGTTGGAGACCCTGGCAGGGGCTGAGGCGGCACAGCTGCCTGGAGGCGAGTCGGAAGTCTTAATCTATGCATTCAGAGAAATATTTTTATATGCTCTGTGTAATTTCTAACGAGGACCTCGTGTCACCTTTGCTCACTGCGCTCGCCCCTCCATCACATATTTGAAGCATGTGATCACGCCGTGTGTGAACATTCCTTGATCTCTGTGCATCACTAACTCTTCAACATGGCAGACGTTATTAAAGTTAAGTATTAATCAATCCAGCCCATTTGCTTTCATTTTGGCTTCTGGGACAGCTGTATCCTTCCTGTCACAGGGGCTGGGATACCCGGCGTTTGCAGGGAAAATCTCGGGGCCATCCCCACCCGAGTCTCCTGCACCCCAGTCTGCTGCGGCAGTGCTCATGCTCTGTCAGTGGCACCTGGGGACAGACACTTGTGTGGCATTTTTCCTCCCAGTCCCCAACGATCGCTTTTATTCCCTGGAGTAGCTGAGCCAGCGTGGGGAGGTCATTCCCCATTAACCACATTTCTGATTATCCTCATTCCTTGACAACAGTGCCTCTTCCTTTGGGCTGTCAGCACCTGTCAGGGCTTCAGTGAGCTCTGCTTGCGCCAGAGTCTGCAGAGGAAACGCAGCCTCACACCTCCGATCCTCAGCGGGAAGCCGTGCGAGTGATCCTGTCCTGGTGCAGGCCAGCGCTCGCCTCACAGAGCAGACGTCACGCCAAATTGGCCTCATAAATCAGAGCAGAGCAGAGACCTTTTCTTAGCACCAAGGAGAGGGAGCATAATTTGGGCATTTGTGCTTTCAGACTTGCTTTATCACAAGGATGGAAGTCGCATTCCATATCCCTATAAACATTCTGGACAGAAACAGCCTGCCAAAAAAAATGCAATTAACCTTTAACAAATGGCCCTGCAGCACAGGCTGCCCCAGAGCCAGAGAAAAACCAGATCAAAGGGGTCATCTCCACATTGCAAACTGCGTAGGGTGGAGAGAGGAAAAAACCAGCTATCACCAGAACCAGTCACACCAGACCTGGGGCAGCTGTAGGAGAGGGTGGTGAGCCCAGGAGAGCAGAAAGGTGGGTACAGTGACAAAACTAATCCAAATGGAAGTCCTGCTGCCAGCTGGGCCCTGACCTATAGAAAACAAACTGTTGGCTTGTGGGAAAATCAAATTTAAGATGGGCGTGGTAATGCTATATATTCCCAGCCCTCTGAGAGAGGAAGCAGGGTTGCAAGTTTGATCCCAGCCTGGGGAAGTTGGAGAGACCTTGTGTAAAAAAAAAGACCTGGGGATGTAGCCCAGTGCAAAGGCCCTGGTTCAGCCCACAGTATGTAATGCAAATAATAATAATAATAATAGCCATTCCTCTATCTCCCTTGCTAGCCTGGGGCCAGGAAGGAAGGGCTCTGAGCTCCTCTGCCCACCTATTTGTCCCCGAGGGATGACAGGAGGCTTCTGGGACCTGTTGGTAACAGAGCAGGGAAGGAGAGCCCCTGCCCTCCTCCACAATTGGAGGAGCAGCCGGCAGGCTGCAAGGGAGTATTCTCAGCAGCTTTCCCAGGAGGCCTGGGTCAGATTTCAGGTCTTTATTTCTCACCTTTTCACGGTATCTGCACAGCGGAGCTGGAACAGCTGGCAACTGCCCAGTGCGCTTTGGCTGTGAAGATTGTATTTCCAGCCAAAAGCTTTGGGTCCGAACTATTTGGGTAACTACAAGTCCAGCCGTGCAGACAGCGGACAAAGCCCTCCTCTGCATCTCCCAGTTCCTCCCTGCCTCTTCCCAGCACCCCAGCTCCAAACCCTGTGGCCCGGGAGCGCGTCTGTCACCGACCACACAGCTCGACTCCCTCAGCATCCCGTTTTCAAAAGCACTCAGGCAGGGTACAGGACTTGGTTACCAGGACGGCCCAACCTGGCAGTCTTCCATTCCAGGAGGGAAAATCTTTATTACAAAATACTTTAGAAAATAAGTAGAATTAGAGGTAAGAGAGAGCGCCCCATGGAATGGTTGTTCAAAAACAGTGCAGTGTGGAAACAACCCTAGATTGGGAATGAGGAGCCCCAGGGCCTGGCCTGGCTGGCGTTCCCGGGCTGAGGCTGTGGGCCATCCTCCTCTTGGCCGTGTCTCCCTCGCTTACTGAGTGAGGCTCCATCCAGAGACACAGTCTCATGGAAAACGTGCCCCCCCCCTGCTGTCAAGCCCATTCTGTGAACACGTGATGTTGTTTCACTGTAGGAAACCCCGGGAATGTATTCAGGCAAGTCCTGCATCCCTGGCCATCCCGTAGAAGATGCCTCTAGCTGCGATGAGGTTGGCTGGAGAATCGAATTCGGCTACTACGCCTCTGTCCAGGACCAGGACCCTAGTCAGAAAAGACATGGTCAGCTCTGCATCAGCCCAGGGTTCCCTGGATGCCAGCTTCATCAACCCGCCTGATACTGCCATGAGCCTGGCTTGCACATGGGCAGGTCTGCTTGTTCAACTGTGCTCTGAGCTCTCCGGCATCTGCAGCAGTCTCTGGGATCGGACAGGAGGTCCTATTCAGCTCTGCGGGTCTGGGTTCCGAGGCTCTTCCCTACTGAGCCCTGGACTCACCAAGGTCAGCGGACTGCAGCAGGCTGGGTGCAGGGAGCACCAGCTTGTGCCCTAGGCCCTGTGCTCACACCCGCTTTGTCAGGGGACAAAGACATATGGCGAGAGACCAGCTGCAGAGAGGAGGCCAGTGCTGGAATCTGGGGTTCAGCCTTCAGGTCTAGCTGTGGCTGTGAGTAGCTCCCCGCTCACACACACAGGCAGGCCTAGGCCTGGTGTTAGGGTCCCAGTAACCACACAAGGGCGCGTCTGGTGCAGAGCCACAGCCAGCACCCCCACTGGGGTGGGGGAGGCCGGGGTGAGGGAGGCTGGAGGGCCAGGCTGCGCCCCTGCCTGCAGACCTGCAGCCATCTGGCTCCCCAGAAACCATGCCCAGAAGGAGTCTGTGCGGGGTGCTGCCTGGTGACTGCTCCCAAAACCAGTGTCCAGGGACTCAGGTGTTCCAGCTCCCCAGATGTAGCCCAGCAAGCCTGTTCCCCTCCCCTCCGCCCCCTGGCCCTGTGTGTCCCTGGCTTCACCAGATGTCTGTGTCCTCTGTAGGAGTTTTCAACTCCACCCCAAGTCAACCCTTGCTCACCCACTGGCTGGTGCTGCCCTTTCTCAAAGCGCCCATATTTCCGGAACCCTGCCTCCCTCCCAAGGACTCCAAGAGTAGGTTTGCAGTATGACTATTTGATCCATTTCTGTCTGCCCTAGCAAATGAATGCACTCCCAGGCCCTGAGGGGGGCTGATTTTCCTACTCTGGGGCTGCTGGGAAGGAACCAGTTTGATTAACTGGGAAGGGTCCTCTCAGGCCAGCCCCATCCCTGGTCTAGGTCCAGGGCCAGCACTCCCTGTCCTCCTTCTCAGCCCAGTGGACAAAGGGTGGCACCAAGCATCCTTGCTGGCCTCCAAGACCTTGTCAAGAGGGCCTTACTGAAGAAGCCAGTTGGGAGCTGGAAGCTTTTGAGGGCAGGGCCCCCCATCTTTCTCTGGGGTACTAGTGCAACAAGGACACCTAAAGGGGTTTGGGAGCAGTGACAGTTCTTAAGGTCCCCTGCAGTTCACATACATCATTTCATTTACTCCTAGTGATCAGCCCAAGAAACATCATCATTTCCACTTGAAATTGGCTCAGAGAGGCTTTGCAACTCGCCCAGGGTCACGCAGCAGGGAGCAGCTGCATGGGGTCCTCTGGCTCTAACACAGCACTGTCCCTATCACAAGGAATCCGGCTCCCAACAGTGTTTTTGTAGATCTAGCTGCCAACACAAGGACCAGGTGTCTCTTGCATCCTGAGCTCCCTTCTCACCAGGGACCTGGTGGGGTCACTGTGTGATAGAGCAGTGAGACATGAGAGAACTTGTGGGTGACAGTGGGCCAGGGACCTGGTTCCCCTCACCTCACACATTGACAGGAAGCAGCATACAGATGACCTGTCACAAATGCCTACGCCTGGGAGCCCCGGGAGCCTTCCCCACTTGTTAGTAGCTTCCAAGGTTCCTGGTGCCTCAGAACACATCACTATGTCCTCTCCAGCACTCAGGTAGCCCTCATCCCATCTTGGGGTACCCCATCCTATCCCCCCACTGCCCCAGGCCTACCGGGTGTAGTCCATGATGGTGTTGAGCCGGTGGGCGATGGTCAGCACTGTGCAGGCCTCGAACTGGGTGCGGATGGTGGCCTGGATGAGGTCGTCGGTCTCCAGATCAATGGCAGCCGTGGCTTCATCCAGAACCAGGATGCGGCTCTTGCGGAGAAGGGCTCGGGCCAGGCACACCAGCTGCCTCTGGCCCACGCTGAGAGAAAAGCAGGCAGTCCTGGCCGGGTGCCCCACCTGGCCCCCGCCTGCTCCCGGCCCTGCCCTTCCTCACCCACTCCTCCTCAGCAGCCCAGGACTGGCTTCCTGGCTCCTCTCCCCTTTCTCCCACAGCCCAGCCCCCCAGGATCCAGAGTACAGGTCTGGACCCCTCAGGGTCTCCGGGTACATCCAGCCAGTAGTAAACACCTCTGTGGACCCTCTGGTCTGTTTTTGGCACCCCCAGCCCCCACTTTGTGTGTGTTCTTCCTCACTCCTCACTCCTTAGTGTGTGCTATGATGTTTCCCTGCTTTGCTCCATCAGTCACTTACATCTTAGTAAGAATTATTCAACCTGGGTAGTCGCATATAAGCTACCATATGCCTGAGGCTATGGGGACACCTTATCTATTGCTCATCCTCATGGGAAAGGTAGGCCAGGAAGGAGCAGGGAACCAGAGGCCAGGGAAGACTCCCTGTGTTTCTTTACGGGGAACCAGGAGGGGCAGAGGCATAGCTTGAACCTCCCGCCTTGGGCGTCAGAGGCAGCAGACACAGCAAGGCTGTGTTCCCAACCACAGAGGCCACAGCACCCCCACTGCAAGGACAAATCCCTCAGCCCTTCCCAGAGGACTGAGTCACCAGCCTTCCACAGTGAAGGCTGGCCTCCTTTGCTGGCCCTGTCTCTCGACTAATGAAGGTTCTGGCAGCAGAATGGGCAGCCAGATAGGACTTGGGGCTGATTTATAGGGGCCCTGGCACGGGATGCAGGCTGCACTTCAAGCGGCCAGAGGCCCGGCATGGGAGGAGGGGGCGACTCCTGTCTCCCCTTCTGATCTGCGAGGGCTGCAGGGCCCTGCTGGGAAGGGCTGGCAGCACGGAGGACAGGACAGTGACCAGGAAACAGCCCCAGAGCCCACACTGTCGCCTAACCGCCTGCCCGCCTGCCTGGCCAGGTGTGAGTGGTCTTACAGCGCTGCTGGGGTCGAACCAGCTAGGAAATTCTTGGGACAAAACCCAGGTCCTTGATTCCCGCCCTGCCCGTGGCTCCCAGAGCAGCCCTGGGCACATAATTTCATAGCAAGGAGCTTTATTTCCGACCCACAGCACTGCAGTGATGATTAAGCGAGAGAGGAGTGGCCAGAGTATTCTGAACGCTGCTAAATGTAGAGCGAACGTAAAGTTCTTCCTTTGGATTTCTGAGGTCTGGGGAGGGGCTGTGAGGAGAGGGAGGGGCTAATATGAAAAGGGAAATAGAGGGCTGGAGGGTTAGAGAGGGTGGAGAGCGCTTGCGTGGCATGCGAGGGCGCCTAGATCCCCGGTACTGCAGACATGTGTGCGCACACATGCACACGCACGCACGCACACGGAGAGAAGGAAAACCAGAAGCATGGAAGGGGGGGAGGGCAGCTGGCGTTCACAGGAGCGCATCCAGCTAAGCGCCTTTCACTTCCCCGCAGTGGCCCGAAGCCTCGCACGCGGACCACACGTGGTTACAGGCACCGGACGCGCCTCGCCCGGGCTGAGGGTGCTCTGAGGAAGTGCAAGGTACCCACAAGAGTTCATGCTCCCAAGAAAATGTGCAAAATGGACCAGCTGACTGGCATTGTGACGTGCTGAACTGATAATGTTTTAGATACCCCGGTGTAGATAAAATGCAGTTTTAAAATTGATTTCATCTGTTTTCTTTTCTCTCCACTCTTCCTCCTTTTCTTCTTTCCTTTCCTTTTTTTTTTTTTTTTTAAAGGGACAGGCTCAAACCAGGTGGGTCACGAAGCAGTGCTCCTGCCCCAGCCTCCCAGGTAGCTGGGACTACAGGCAGGAGCTGCCTCAGCCACCCAATCTCTTTTTTGCTTTAAATGTGGCTAATGGAATAAATTGTAATTACATATATTTGGCTCCCATTGTACTTTTTATTGGGCAGTGCAGTGTGAAGAGCTGTGGACTATTATTACCCCCATTTTAGAGTGAAGGAAGAGGAGGTGCGGAGAGCTTAAGCAACCTGCCCCGATCACACCAAATCCACAGCCAGAGGTGCGGCTCAGCAGTAGTGCGCTGACCACACCTGCACGAGGCTCTGGGTCCTTTCCCCAGGCTCTGGGTCCTTTCCCCAGGACCAGAGGAAAAGGTCATGCAGCTAACATAAGCCTGAGGATCTCAATCTTTAGACCACATGAGAGTGGCTCTTAGCTAGGTGTGGTGGCCCAGGTCTGTCATCCCAGTGCTCGGAAGGCTGAGGCAGGAGGATCTCTGTAAGCTGGAGGCTTAGCCCAGGCTACATAGTGAGTGTAAGACTGGCCTGTGTGATATATTGATACCTTATCTCCAAAAAATCAAAATAAAACAAAAAGGCCCCACGCAGCCTTGGCAGCCCTGGAGTGGCAAGGGCCAAGGTGAGGAGGTAGCTTGGACTCTCTATCCTTTTGATATCAGGCCTTCCAGCACCCACAGGGTCCCCCGGGGCCACAAGCCAGGGCTGTTACCTGAGATTCTCCCCACCCTCAGAACACTGGAAGTCCAGGCCCGCAGGCTGGGACTTTACAAAGGCGTGCAGGTGGGACAGCTCCAGGGCCTGCCAGATGTCCTCCTCCGAGTACCGGCCGAAGGGGTCCAGGTTCATGCGCAGGGTTCCTGAGAACAGGATGGGGTCCTGGAGATACGACAGGGCCTGAGAGGGGCGGCTCAGGCCCCATGAGGAACCCTGGGCCCAGAGAACCCTGTGCTCCAGGCGCAGGGCAAAGAGTGGGATGAGGGTGGCAGTGACCCCCCTCTGTCCCCAGCCCTCCAGGAGGGAGACTAGGGCCAAGGAGAGGAGAGGGAACATTGCCTGTGGACGACTGATAAACCCAGCTGTGCCCGGCGCTAAGTCCTCTGCTGGAGCAGGAGCCAGAGCCACTAATCTCACTCCAAAGTGTCCAGTCGGCAGAAATACACACCCCGAGGAGCCAGGAAAGCACTATGGAATCCTGAGCCTCATAAGCAGGAGGCCAGGATGCAAGGTCTCGGCATGTGGGGGAGAGTGTTTGCTGGCCCAGGACTGGACGCCCAGCTCTCTGCTAGGGGGTTCTGACCCCTGCCAGCCTCCAAGGCCAGGGAACTTGGCTTGGCCTTCAAGCTACAGAACAGGGGTACCTCCCCCCACCTACTGCATCCGGGGAGATCATGCATGGCCAGACTATGGCAGGCTCACACCTGGGGGATGATGGTCAGCTGAGAACGCAGGTCGTGGAGGCCAATGTTTGCCACGTTGAGGCCATCAATGAAGATTTCACCCTCTGCTGCCTCCAGGATCCGGAATAGGCAGAGGGTCATGGATGATTTGCCAGCTCCGGTGCGGCCCACGATGCCCACCTGAGGGGTGTGGAGGGGGTTTGGGGAAGCCGGTGGGGCACAGGGGCATCTCCAGGTCCCCCCTAGTGGCCTCCCCAGCCATGGGTACCTTCTCACCGCCGTGCACACAAAGACTCAGGTTCCTCAGCACCAGCTCCAGGCCCGGCCGGTATCGCACAGAGTAGTTCCGGAACTCCACCTCCCCATGCAGGGGCCAGCCTTCTGGGGGTCGGCTGCCCTCCACTACCCAGGGGGCCTGGCAGGAAGCGGGGGAGACACAGGAATCAGCTGGGGCACTTCCCCTGTCAAGGTCCCCTCAGGTCCCATCATTGTAAATCCTTTCTCTCTTCTCTCTTCTTTGTAGTGCTGGGGATCAAACCCTGCACATGGCTAGGCAAGCGCCCATTAGCTGCATTCCTAGACTCATCTCTCTGACTTTTTCTGTACAATGGATTGACCCCAGGGCCTTTGCCCTGACCTATATCTCCAGCCCCTTTTCTTTATTACTTAAAATTTTGAGCTAGGGTCTCTTCTTTTTTACTGCATTACCCAAGTTGGGGTTGAATCTGTGATTCTCCTGCCTCAGCCTCCCAGAGTGATGGGTTACAAGGGCTCGCCACCATCTCTTTGACTTTATTCCTGCAGAGCTGCTCCAAAACTTCCCATCCTGTCCCCTCCCATGCTCTTCTCATGCCCTATGCTCTGGAGGTGCCTGCCTTACTAAATGGGACCTGGCACCAGGCAATGGGACACAAGGTTTCCCTAGGAAATGAAGTTTTGCTGCCAGAGGTTACATTCTAGCTCAGGTGCTAGAATACATAAGCAGCTCTGTATAATGTTAAGATCCATGAGTGCCAGGCTGCCCTGGGCTGGTCAGGGAAAGCTTTCTGGAGGAAGTATAACTTAGCACCAGGAAACACAAGGCGCAAGGGCCAGCAAGTGCAAAGGCCTCCAGTGTATTCTGAAGCCCAGAGACAAAGGTGAGAAGCACCAGGCTGAGGCGGGGGGTGGCCCACGGTGAAGGGACTCCCAGGCCACCTGCTTTACCCTGAGCCAGATGCAAAGCCATCAGGGGGACACACACACACACACACACACACACACACACACACACACACACAGGGTCACCGCAAGACCTGGTGCATTCTCAAAGGAGGAGTAACAGGACCAAAGAGCAGGCTGCGGGAGGACCAGGGGGCAGGCTGCGGGGAGCAGGCGAGAGCCAGGGTAATGAGATGGTTCAGAGAGCCTGTATCGAAGAGAATTTAAAACAAGTTCACGACAGAGGCAAGCAGAGAACTGGGGCAGCAGGAGGCAGGGGGCAGGGAGGGCCGTGACAGTGTCTAGCGGAACATTCTCACACATGGACGGGAACCATCCAACAGAGGGAGCACGACTGACAGATCAGGCTTGGCTGAGGACAGAGTCCTGGAGCAGCCTCGGGAAGAGGCAGAGGGGCTGCGGATGGGGCAGGACCAAGGGGCTGGGGCAGAAGGCGGAGGGAGCGCATGTCTTCTAATCCAGTTTGGCAGGGGTGGGAGGGTCAGGCAGGGTCACCAGCTGAGCACAGGGATGCTCAGAAGAGGTTGTTCTGCAAGTGGGAACACAAGCTTCCTGGGGAAGCAAACAGGAAGCCAGCAGTGGTTACACACGTGAAGTCTGGTGGCCGATTTCCTCCAGCCAGCTGTTCTGCAAGTGTGAAGAAGGTGGACAGGAGGCCCCAGGCCAGGGCCTGGGATGGGGGAGAGGAGGAGGAGGGAGAGGGAGGGGTGATAAGGCAGAGAATCTAGGCCAGCTGGGAGGGAGCCGAAGCCGGGAGACGATGGGGAGACGAAGCTACATCACGGGTGTCCTTGCAGGGACAGAGTCCTGGAGCCATGTGGGACTGGGGGCAGGTGAGCCGGGAGAGATGGGAGGTGGTCTGCAAGTGGGGTGCTCGACCCTGAGCACTTGGAGATGGTACAGAATCAGGGCATGGCAACATCTGGGGTGTGACTATGGCCATGGAGAAAGCCTGGACCCCTCACACAACAGAGGGCCCAAGGCCACATCTGGGCTCCGTGGACCAGCCCGGTCCCTTTTGCTGCAATGCCCACCTGCCCCTGCTGTGTGCCACCATCTTCCCTATTTGATCAAAACCCATCCATCTTTGTAATCTCAGCTTGCTCCCTGATCACCCCAACTGCATGATGTCTCTTAGCCTCCTCTTTGGGGGCGCTACCTTCCGGCTACTGTCCACCACAGAGCCTACCACAGGGGTCACCCTCCCACAGAATGAATCTACTGACGACACTGTCTTGCTGAGTCTGAGCTCTCTACACCTACCATCATGAACCTCCGATGCTCTGAGGATTGAGTGGTAGGATGAATGGCTAGATAGATAGCTGTTTGGTTAGATGGATAAATGGGTGGATAGAGCGGTGGTTGCATGGATGGGTGGTTGGGTGAATGGATTGATGGATGAATGGATGGATGGATGGATGGGTAGATGGATAGATGGGTAGATGGATAGATGAATGGATGGATGGAGGGATGAAGAACTAGCTAAACAGCTGACCTCAGGGTGAGGGATGGTGAGCTACCAAGCATACACCCTCAGCTACTCCAGATAGCCCTGCCCTGTACTCATCCCAAAACTCACCTCGGTCTCTGTCTTTGAATACTCCTTGACTCTCTCCACAGCCACAATATTAGACTCCAAATCTGACATCATTCGTATCATCCAGTTCAGAGCCACTGTCACCTGGCCAAGGAGACTGGGTTACGGCAGTCAGAACAGTTCTGAGAAGAGTTCCGTCCTCCAGCTTGCTCCCATCAATGAGGAACTACCCCACCTGTGACCCACAGGTGTGCACACTGAGGCTGCCATCAGACTGTGCCTCAGGCAGTGACGAAGCAGACCTAAGGGAGGACTGCCTCACACCTTGTCAAACTCAAATATGGATAAGCCTCCCGAGAGATTTCTGTTAAGATGCAGCTTCTGACTCAGTGGGTCGGAGGGGGAACCTGAAAGTCTCCATTTCTAACAAGCTCCCAGAAAATAGCAGGTCCCAACCCAGGCACCACCCTTTGTGTTCCAAAGAAGTCTTGGTAGAAATGCAGAATCCTGAGCTCCACGCTAGACCTGGTGAATCAGCATGTAGGTTTTAACGAGCTCTCCAGGTGGCCCGCATACATGAACGTTTGAGAAGCCTGGCCTGCCTGGTTTTTGCCTTTTGTTCAGCAAAGCATTCGAGATTCAAGCCACCCAAGGCATTAACAATTCGCTCTGCTCTACTCGAATTCTATTTGCAGTTACATAAGTCTCTGGCAATTTAGGCTGGTGTCAGAATGACCTGCCTCACCTGCAGCCCGGCTCCTGTCAGCTGATCTGCAAATTGTTCCTTGGTAACCAGGGCCCCTTGAAGATTTTAAACCCACAGATGTTCAAGTCTCTTGTATAAAATGGTGTAGTGTTTGCATGTAACCTCTGCCCACCCTCCAGTTGCTTGAAATCCTGTCTAGAGGACTGAGAACACCCGATAGGATGCCTACGCATCCATCCATTTGCAAGGATTCAGTGTAGTACCTGCCACCGCAAATTTAAGTCTTGCTTTTTCAGGGGAAGTTTTTGAATTTTTTTTCATAAATATTTCCCATCTGCTGCTGGCTGAATCCTTGCATGTAGACAGATCCAAGGAGGGTGACAATCCTTTCTCCCACATTCACAGGAAGTATACCTTGGCCCTATGCTCCCCTGGGGCAAGACTTCTGTCTGGTCAAACTACATTTTGCCCAGACATCAGTTCTGTTTGTCTTTTGGGGCTGACCTCCAAGATTGCTTCTCCAATCTTGGGGGACACTCCCCTGTGTTTTGTTCTTCCCATGACAAGGTCTTACTCTCTGGTACAAGGGTCTCCCCAAGTCTGTGAGCTCACAGTGCCTGAGATTAGAACCTGCACTATCCCCATATTGAGCAGAAAAGGCCACCCAGTTGGGGCTCTGCTCAGGGTCCCGGGCTTCGTATACCTGTAGGGCATAGGATACAGAAAGGCCCACGAGCCCCGGACTCAGGCTGTTCCTCCCAATCACCGCAAACAGGGCAGCGAAGAGCACCACGCAGTTCCCCACAAACTCTACATGGACGCCCAGCCACCTGCAGGGGGCCAACCAGGAGGAGAGAAGAGGAGATGAGACCAGGTATGGGGTGAACCCGCTTTCCCTTTAGGTAGAGAGCTGCCAGCAGTCCTGGAAGAGGAGGCTTCTGACCGGTTGGAGGCGATGGAGGAGTAGCAGCTCTTCTGGTTGGTATCCACCTTAATGTCACTGAGGACCTTGAAGTCCTCGGTACGGCCATATGCCCGGATGACGCTGGTGCCAGTCACCGTCTCCGAAAAGTGGGAGTAGATGGGTGAGCGGCTGATGGACTCCAGTCGCTTGAGCTGCCGGGATGTGGCCACATAGAAACGCTGATGGGGAAGAGGAAAGAGCGTGACGGGTCAGGGCCGTGGAACCCCCAGCTCAGTCCTGTCCATCCTCCAAGCCTCCCATGCACCTGGGCCTCTTCCCAGCCAGCGCCACTCGCCCCAAGAGGCTTCAGTGCCTTCTCCTTCCTTCAGTGGGAGGCTCAGCATCTTGATGTTCGTTCTAGCCTTTCCCTGTGTTCAGCTTCCTCTGCCCCGCCACTTCCTCCCCAGAGCCCTCCCTGCTTTCCTCCTAGCTCCTGCCTCCTGGACTGCTCCTCAGGCCGCCAGTGCATCTGGGCCCCAGCATTGACTTCAGCCTCTTAAGTGGTTAAATACCCAGCTCCACCCAGGGCCTCGGTAATGTATTCAGTCAAACGATTTTGTAAGACTTCCAAAAACGAGGTAACTTTGGATCCTTTTTCTGGAAAAGCCCTTCTACCTTGTTGTTTCCACTTTAGTCCCTCAAAAACATGATTCTTTCTTCACTGTCTCTTTCCCTGGGGGACCCCCACCCTCACTGGTCACGCCTCATGGAGGAGCAGGAGCCCCAGGGACTAACCGGCTTAGACACTGCATGTTTAGATGTGGATAAAAGGGCAGGAATACTGTATCCCAGGCGGTGAACACTATTTTACTACAAAACGGCTAAAAAGAAGGAAACCCAGGGCCAATCAATGTATAAGAACACAGTTTATGATCACAAGTGACACGATGAGGTAGGCTCTAGCAATCTATCTTTACAGGAAAGTTAAAAAGGAATTTCAAGGAAGTAAAGTAACTGACCACAGTTCCTAACTAAACAATGCATCCCACCCTACACTTCCTGGTCAGCAGTCCTCAAAAAGCCCCGCCCACATTAGAGCCCACCCACATCACAGCCCACCCACATCAAAAGCCCACACCTGCAAGGGGCCCAAACCAGAGCCCCGCCCACACCAAGCCCCGTCCACACCAAGCCCCGCCCACATCAAAGCCCCGCCCACATCACACCCAGGCACCTGCACAAAGCCATAGAACACAGCGAGAGGCACGATGACCACCAGGAAGAGCGGTGTGCTGGCCACGATGATCACCAGGATGGAGAGGGAGGTGTACAATGAATTGAACAGCATGAGGATGGTCGGGGCCAGAAGTTCATCAATGACATAGATGTCCCTGGAGAAGCGGTTGAGGATGCGGCCAGAGGGCGTGGTGTCGTAGAAGGACTGCGGGGACTGCATCTTGTTCTGCAGCAGCCTGTGGTGCAGCAGGCACGCAGCCTGAACGCCTCCCATTGCCATGGTGAAAGCCGAGAGCATCACCAGGACCCCTGTGAAGGTGGCAGAGAGGTCACCGGGGAGCAGGGCAGGCCTGGAGGGCAGCAATGTGGCTGGGGGTGGCACAGAGCTAAAGGAGAGTCAGGGATGTGGCTCCTGGTTGGAGGAGCTCACCTTGCAGAATCCCCAGGGCAGCATAGACGCCCAGCCTCAGGGAAGTGTTGTTCTGCCTGCTGTCCATGGTGGCCTCGTTGGTCCATTCGCTGAGCCACACATTGGCCCCGATGGAGGCTGCACTTTGGCCGGTGTACAGGACACAGATAGCCAGCGTGGTCCAGAGCCCCACAGCCTTGGCATAATCCCAGAACACACTCAGCTTCACCTGCAGGCGGTAGCCGAGGCAGTTGGGGACAGAGGACTCCATGAGCTGCTGGGGCCTGCTCATGGCCACCCGTGTCCACCCTACTCACCGTGCCCGTCTCTGCCTTCTCCTCCTGGATGAGTGTTCCGGTCTCCTTCGCCTTTGCCACCTGCTCGGCCTCTGATGCACTCTGGTGTCTCCGAAGCACAGGCCGAGCCTGGCCCTCCCCGTCAGAAGACATGGTGCTCAGCTGCCTGGGGATGCAGCAGGTCAGACCCAGGCCAGTAGCCTCTGACACTTACACTCCCCCACTGACAGTGGCAACCCCTCCCTCCAGGGTGGAGGCTAAGGGGGGTGCCCAACTGTACCCCACTGCCAGGGCTCGGAGTCCTGCTGCAGCCTTGTGGGGGCAGGGCTGGGGGCTCTCAAGGGCTCACCTCATGAGCTGCTTCTGGACCTGGAACAGGGCCGGCTCAGTGTCCGTCACGTCTGTGTGGGTGCTAAGTGTGTCCTCAATCAGCAGCACCTCCTCATCGCCATTTTCCAAGGCTGCAGAGGGGAGAGGAGGGTGCATGATGCTGCCTATCACCCCACACCCCACTTCCACTCCAGTGAGGGGTTCTGACCGACAGACATGAGCAAGGATGAGAGGGTTTGGAAGGGTACCCAGAAAGCCAGCATAGAATGGTTGCTCCAGGCACTACAGGGAAGGGACTCAAATGTCAAGGCTGGGACGTGAGCTCTAGCCTCAGACAGGCTGAGCTACCATCCCACTTCCTGGCTGCACGACCAGGAAAGAAAGGTGCAGGAAAAAAATGACCAGTCATGCTACCTGGCACATGGCGTCTCTGTGATGACCAGAGCAGGAAGGGTGTGGGTCAAGCGCCTTGCCTGGTGCAGGGCACTTGGCAGACGCTCAAGGCAGTGGGTGAGGAGCTCAGGAAAGGGCCCTGAGCCAACCCAGAGTCTGCAGTTGGGAGCCCTGAGGACAGGGAGGTTTTATTTGCTCACCGTTTTCTGTCCAAGAACATTGCCTGGTCTCAGTGATTGTTCAATAAATCTTGGTGGATAAGTAAATGTTTTTACTAAACACTTGCACATTTGTTAAACAGTGTATCCATCAAGCAGTTTGGGCCTGAGCCCATTGCTTCTCCTGACGGAAGGAAGACAGACTGGGAGGCTTGAACTGCTGACCCAAGATCTGACTGGGAAGAGGAGGAAGTGGGACTTAGCTACGTCCAGTTCGCTTTCCCTCTCGTGACATCCGGTCTGACTGTCCCACAGATGGCCCGGCTTTCCCAAGAGGCCTCAGGTGTGGGATTTGGAAGGGCCAGGGTGGCGCGTACCCATCCTGTGGAGCACCTGCTGCTCCTCCACCGGGCCCTCATCAAATGTGTAGTTGCGGAGGAAGTTGGCAAAGCTGCCATCGCGCTGCATCAGCTCTGAGTAGGGGCCCATTTCAGACACCTGCCCATCGGCCATCACTATGATGAAGTCCGTCTGGGGCAGGAAGCTGATGCCATGTGTCACCAACACCCGGGTCTGTGGAGAAAGCAGCAGGCTGTTGGCCCTCAGTGTGTGCCAGGGGGAACAGGTGGGGACACCCAGGACACACCCTGTGCGCCCCATGGGCTGCTCAGTGCCTCTGGGGTATGCATCTCAGGTCTCACCTGAGCCCCTCAGCCTCCCACCAGGTTCCTCCTAGAGGGTAGCCCTGGCTCCTATCCTGCGGCCTCACCTTGCCCGCCAGCACGCCTTCTGGCCCAATCACGTGGTCGAAGATGTGTTTCGCCACGTGGGAGTCCACGGCTGACAGTGGGTCGTCCAGCAAAAAAATGTCAGCGTTGCTGTAAACGGCTCGGGCCAGACTGACCCGCTGCCGCTGGCCCCCAGAGAGGTTAATGCCCTGGAGGAAGGAGGAGGGGGAGGAAGAGGGAAGTGCTGGATCCAAGGCGGACTGGCCCAGGGAGACAGGGAATGATGTGGCCGCACAGCAGGGCGGGCCTCTGGATCTTCCTTTCATAGGGTGTCCAGCTGACGGGGGAGCTGAGGGCCACCAAGCAAGGGGCAGTGACTCTCAGAGTCCTCCTGGATAGCCGAGGCCTCCTTCTCTCTGGCAGGTGGCCCCAGCCACCCCAGGATCTGTGGATGGATGAATGGCAAGTGGCCAGTGATACACTGGATACCACCCAGCCCGAGAAGCACGAGACGCTAGCACGAGGCTTGTGGCCACACCTTGGGGATGCTGTGCTACGTGGGATAAGCTAGTCACGAGAAGACGAGCGACGTGGGAATCCACCAACATGGGGTGCCCAGAGTAGTAACTGAATTCCAAGAAGCTGAGGACTTTGGCAGAGGAGGAGCCCTGGACAGTGACCGTCCAGTGGGGACAGACTTCCAGCTTGGCAAGACAAAAAGGTTCTTGGAGATTGTTGTGTGACACTTCGAATGCATGTAATGTGACCAGACCACAGGTTGAAATATGGTGGTACTTTTTATGTTGTATGGACTTTGCTTCAACTAAAAATAAACTAAGAGGCCAGGTATGGTGGTATTTGCCTGTAATCGAAGCACTTGGGAGGCTGAGACAGGAGGATTGCTGTGATTTTGAAGTGAGCCCCAGCTGTTTAGTGAGTTCAAGAACAAATTGAACTCCATAGTGAGATCCTGCCTCAATAAAAAATAAAATAAAACAAAATAAAAGTTAAGCAGGGCGTGGTGGCCCATGAATGTGATCCTAGCAGTTAGGGAGCTGAGGCAGGAAGATTTTGAGTTTGAGGCCTGGGCTACATAACAAGTTCAAAGCCAGTTTGGACTGCATAGTGATGAGTGGGTGGATGGATAGACGGTGTTTCTTTCTCGGTTGTTTTGTTTTGTTTGTTTTTGGTCTTTTTGAGATAGGTTCTCACCATGCAGGTCAGGTGGGCCTTGAACTCACAGCAATCCTCCTGCCTCCGCCTCCCAAGTGTTGCAATTACAAGCACACCTGGCTTCTTCCTCAGTTATTAAGATTCAGCTCCTGCAATGCCTTTCCTCACGAAGGCTTCCCTTCGGTGCCCTCCCTGTACCCTGCACAGGCCTTCCCCGGGCTCCAGGGAATTCTACAGCCCCAGCTGTTCATGAGTCAGCCTCTCCTGGTCATAGACCTGCTTCCCCAGGGCCCAGCATGGAGCTGGACATGATGTTACACCACTGGGAAAAGAGTGAATGAGGGTTGGGAAGGGACTCCGTACCTTCTCTCCGATCTCCGTCTGGTCTCCACCAGGCAGCATCTTCAGGTCAGCTAACAGGGCACAGGCCTCCAGCGCCTGCTGGTAGCGCTTAGGGTTCATGGCTTGGCCGAACAGCACATTTTCCTGAAGTGTACAGTTCTGGATCCATGCCAGCTGGGGCACGTAGGCCACAGAACCCTGGCCACAAAAGAAGGTCCCTTTGGGGCTTGTCCATGGCCTGACCAGGCCTCACACCCTTGCCGGGAGCCCTTAGCCTCTCACCTTCACAGACACTGTGCCTTCCAGCTTCTCCATCTCTCCCAGCAGAGCAGAGATCAGCGAGGACTTCCCACAGCCCACGGGCCCCACTACGGCCACGAGAGCCCCTTTCCGGATCTGGATATCGAGGCTGGGAGCAAGGAGCCCCAGTTAGAGGCTGGGATCCTATTTGGTCCCCAGGCTATGACAGGCAGACCCTCCGCTTCCTCCCTCCCTCCTTGCATTGCCAGTGGACAGGAAGTGGGGTGAAACTGTTGATCTGGCCTCCTGCCCTCTGTGGGTACCTGTGCAGGGTTGGGGGCAGGTCCTGGGCCCAAGTGAAGGTGCCACCATGAATGGTGATGGTGTAGCCTGGGAGAGCCAAGCGCACAGGGTCAGGGTGCCCAGGGTTGGGAAGTAGGTGGAGTGGGGCTGAGGACAGGGGCAGGTCCCTGGGGAAGGGGCAGAGTGGCAGGGGGAGCCAAGGTGAAGATTTCCAGACCTGGCGAGATGGTCTTTCTCTCCACACACTGGGGGTCAATTTCATCCTGGCTCAGGAAATGCTGAATCCGTTTCAGAGACACGTTGGCCTGCGAGAGGGTGTCAGTCAGCGCCAGAGGCTGCTCCTCCCATCCCCCACCCCTGCAGCCCTTGCTTGGTCCCCAGCTTCCTGGGCTAAGCAGGGTTGTCATCCCCCCATCCCCCACCAAGGGCCCACTCACAGCTGCTGGGCTCTTTCTGGTGCCCGAGCCTTCCATGGCTCCTTCTTCTCAAAGATAAGGTCCCAGCTGGAATTCAGAGGCTGTCTCTCCAAACAACCCTCTTAGCCTCCTCTGACTCCAGGGACTCTCACTAAACAGCCCTACCCTAGGGACCCTTTCTGACCTCACCGCCCACCCTAACTCTAGCAACAGCTCAGCCCTGCCTGGGTTACCTGGGTCAGACCACTGATTAACCTTGGCAGCATGTTGAGGGGATTCTTTAAGATGTTGAACAAGGCCAAGGACACAAAGGCCTTCTCGGCGTCCAGCACGTTGTCCTGGTCCACACACACGTACACCCCGAGGGTGATCAGGGTCACCTGGGGAGCGTGGGAGTGGGCGTCAGGTGGGGCCTGGGCTGGCCAGGCAGGAGGCATCGGCCCGGCCCCGGCAGCAAGCTCACCAGGAAGGGGGTGCAGACCCAGATGAAGGTGGAGACGGCTTGGAGGTAGGTGCCCTTGCGTAGCAGCTGGAGCTCACCCTGCCGGATGCCCTCCACCTGCTGCAGGAAGCTGGGCTCCCAGGCATACAGCTTCAGCACCTTGATGCCTCCCAAGATTTCTGTCATCAGCTTGATGCGTGAGTCCTTCAAGTTCATCTGTTTCACCTGTGCAGTGCGGTGAGCAGCAGTGACACATCCAGCCCCCTCCCCTGACCTCCTTCACCATGTCCTCGTGCATGGTGGCCACTGCTTCACGCCATCCTCCTGCTGCCTCCACCTCCCTGCCAGGCCGGGGTGCCCACCCCATCCCTTCCTACCTGCATCCCCTGCCTGGGAAAGTCAGTTCCACTCTCAGTGCCACCATCGCTGACCACAGATTTCTAAAGTGCCCCGTACTCCCCTCAGCTCCCATCGCCGGCCCTGTCCTTATCACCAGTCAGACCTGGAGCTTCCCGAGGGTCTGGATCACTCGTGTCTGGGTTCCTTCAGCCCTGAACCGGACGTTCTGCCTCTCACAATAATTTATCCATTTTCTTTCTTTCTTTTCTTTTTTTTGGGGGTGGGGTGGGGTGGGGCTTGGGGATCAAACTCACAACCTCCCACTTGCCAGGCAGGTGCTTACGTTGCTGAGCTAAATCCCCAGCCCCAATTTATCCATTTCCAGCCTTGCCAGTGTCTACTCTGCCTCACACAGCTGATGCAGGTAATAAGAAACAATTACCCGAATAATTGCTTAATCACAAATTGTGATGTGTACCCTAAGGGGAAATAGGAGAGTGCTAAGCAAGAATAATGGGGTGGGATAGGGTACCAAGGGGACCTCTGGAGAAAGCCAGTTTATGTCAGGGTGGGGGAGGAAAGGAGTTAGGCCTCATGGGAGGGTTAGACAGAGGGAATCGTGCGAGTGGTGGTCCAGAGGAACACAGAACTGTGATGCTGCACGCCTGTAATCCCTGCACTTGGCCAAGGCAGGAAGATCACCATGAGTTTGAGGCCAGCTTCGGCTACGTGGTGAGTTCAGGGCCAGCCTGAACTATACAGCAAGACTGTGCCTCAACAGAACAGAACAAGACAAAACAAAGGGGTACACGAGGGAAAAGGCCAACTTGGCTGAAACTGAACTATACCAAGGGGCTGAGGACTCACGAGGTAGGAGGGAGCCCAGTGGGTGGGCTTAGGGTGCTGATCTTTTAATCTACGTGCAGTGGGAAGCTGCTCAGGACTTCTGTAAATGTTTGCAAGTGGACTAAATGACTGTCCATCTATGCAATGGTACACAGCATAGTAGGGAAAGTTCTCATAAGGCCTGGGTTCAAGTCCTAGCACTGCTGGACTCCAGACTTTGGTAATGTGCCCTGGCCTTGGTCTATGGGGCAGGCGGATGGAGCTAAGGTTTGTGCAGGTGGCTTGTGGGCGCCCATCCTCAGACTCCAGGAAGTGAAGAGGGGGGCGCCTGGCCCGATGTGGGGGTCTCCAACAGCACCCACCTGGTAAGCGTGCATCTTCATGGCCACAGCGCCATTGAGTGGGATCAGCAGGACCATGAGCCCCACGCCAGCCAGGACAGAGGGACCCAGGATCTGGGGAGGCACAGGGAGGCCAATAAGACCGATGGACGGATAACCCAGCTCAACACACAGAACCCAACAGAGACCTGAAACATGCCAGCCAGCCAGCCAGGACAGAAAACCAGGGGCAGCAGCCATCAGATAACGACGACAGACAGCAGACCTAGAAACGTGTCAGGATATACCCAAAAGCCAAGCAAGCAGACAGACAATGGCACCACACGCGTACTGTCTCCAAGTCCCACGGCTCCCAGATTTGGGAGGTAGGGTCATAGCACCGGGCAGAAAAGGCTCCATGGCAGGTGCCAGCAGCCACGTCCCCCACTACCTAGGGGAGCTCTGATGTGCATGACCCAGACTGAGCGCGTCGCCCCTTCTGCAGCAGGAGAGCTGGGTCAAGACTGAAGTGTCACCTGCCAGAGGAAGTAGATGGCCAGGATGACCTGCAGCGGAGTTGCCCACAGCAGGTTGAGGAAGGGGAAGACATCCATGAATCGCTGAGCATCCACCGACATGAGGTTGACTATTTCTCCCACTGTGGACTCACGTTTGACTGAGTTGGTGATGACCAGCGCCTGCCGGGGGACAGCACAGGGTGGGCCAGGCTTGTGAGCCTGTGCTGAACTGCCCCAGGGAAGTCTCCATGTAGCGCCGGGCTCCCGCTCACCTTCCTGTAGATGACGCCGATGACCCCCGTGCGGACCCTTAGGGCCGACACAAAGATGCAGTGGTAATACTGGTGTAGGATCAGGGTCTGTACCAAGGCACAGACAAACATCAGTCCAGCCAGCAGGAAGCCCCACCAGGAGGGGGCCTCGGGGTTGGAGATGAACTGGATCAACATGCTGTAGGGGCGGGGAGGGAGGAAGCCATGAGGGGGCACCCGGCCTTCCCTGTCCCCTCAGCCCCACCTGGGCCAGATCTCAGGGTCCCCTTCCCTGTACCCATGGGCCCTGCTGGCTGGCCCTCTGTCATACTCCCTACCAGGCCTACCCAGTCTCTCCTTTCTTTCTTTTTCTCTCTTTTTTTTCTTTGCAAAACTGGGAATTGAAACCAGGACCTTCACATGGGGTACATCCCCAGCCTCTAAAAAAATTTTTTTTTCTTTCTTTTTTTTTTTTTTTTACGTTGAGACAGGATTTCGCTACGTTGCCCAGGGGTGGGAGACAACTCCAGAGACTCCCCTTGAATGCAAAACCATTACTGAGACTTTGATTATTTGGCGACTTATTTCCTTATACTGATATGTAGAGAGCTGGCTATGGTAGTTCCTTCTCTCTTCAATCAGCTCTAAGCATTGTAAATAAGGACAGCAGAGGTGCTGGTGTAATCTCTAAAGCCAACAGTCAGTCCTGTTTCCTCACATAGTGTTCTCCGTACAGGATATGAGCACAGTGGGATGTTAGAGCCAGTCAGCCCCTAGAATGTCAACTGGGTATGAGCCTCAAGGAAAAGAGGCTGTGACTCCCCAGGGCACAAGAGTACATACCAGAAACCAAAGCCACAGCCTCTCAAAACGATTCCATCGCTATCTTTTTTTTTTTTTTTTGGTACCAGGGATCGAACTCAGGACTGTGCACTTGCCAGGCAGGCACTTATGCCGCCGAGCTAGATCCCCAGCCCTCCATTGCTATCTTAATTAGATTATGTGAATTTTTCCTTCTGCATATCTCTTTCTCTCACCTGGCCAGCCAGCTCAAGTTCCTCATATAATTCCTGCCATCCTCACTGTCACTCATCCCTGAACCACCCCACTTCTTAACAAGATAATAAATGCTGGGAGAGGCCTAGGATCAGGGCCTTTGCCCACATGTCCTCACGGGATTGGACTTAGGACCCCCTGGCTGCCCTTAATTTGGAATCTGTCTTGGTGTCTTTACTCTCCCCGTGGGTTGCACTGGTGGTGGTAGACTGGAATTAATGTGCTGGGATTCCAATAAGGTCTCAATGAGACTACAAATGTAACTTTTTGGATTGTGAGGAAAACTAAAAAGAGGATTACAATACTTGGATGACTGAAATCAATATTGGGGATTACAATGTTGAACTTGCAATGTTCTTGCCTCAGCCTCCTGGAATGCTGTGATCATAGGTGTATACTAACACTACTGGTGCCTGTCACCTCCCTAAACCGTGTGGCAGGAAGCAGTGCCACATTGTTAGAGTAGGCTTTCTTGAGCTGCAGAATGTTCTGGAGAAGTCACCAGGCCACCAGACTCTCGTTCCTCAAACCCAACTTCCCGACACCTTCTGGGCCCTTGTCCACCTCCTCTTCCTGACCTTCTTCCTCCCCCTTCTAACTCCTGACCCCATGCCTTTGCCCTGCCCTTCTCTGCAGCTCTCAATCTTCCCATGTAACCATCCCTGGTCACCCACAAACTTCCCTCCGTACACTGGCCCACACCCTTTGCTCCTGCCTTGGAAGAGAGAGTGTCTCTTCTGCATGGCAAGCCCAGTCCTGCCTCCCCAGCCCTGGGTCCCAACCACCTCTGCAGGAGCAGGCCTGGGGGGTGCAATCCTCAGTAACCTCCCAGCCTCAGGCTGCTCTCTCCACGGTGGGGTGAAGCTTAGGCACACGGGGCCAGCCATCCATCCCAGAGCCAAGTCACCCCTTCTCTAGGGGTTGAGTGTGTCTCCCAGAATGCTCAGGGCCTGATCCCTGTGCCTACAGATGTGGTCTCATCTGGACACAGGTCCTGGGGTTGTAACTAGGATGAGGTCACATGGGAGCAGGTGTCTACATGCACAGAGAAGGCCAGGTGATGACAGAGGCACAGGTGGGAAGGAAGGGCACTGTTATAGGGTGTGGACACGAGGACTGCTGGTCACAGCTGCTACCTTGGGAGAGGCAGGTGATGAGGCCTCATCCACAACCTCTGGAGAGAGCCAGCTCGGCCCTCTCTTGGTTTTGGACCTGTGGCCTCCTGAATTTTGGGAATGCGTTTCTGTTTGCTTCACGCCATTGGCTGGTGCTAATGTACTAGGGCAGCTCTTTCAAACTACGCACTTCCCTTTCTATTGGCTTTCTGGACTTCCACACCGCTGGCCACACTGCAGGTGGTCCCCGTCCCCTCTAACTCAGCCTTTGTCCTCAGCAGTCTCTCACCAGCTCCATGTCTGCCCAGGGTCAGCTTTCTACACTGGAGCCTGTGCTCTGCCACATTCCAGTTTCTGTGCCCAGCTTCTGGGAACACCCAGGTCTCTCCCTGTACCCATCAGGATCTCTGGGGCTCTGCTGGGTACCCCCTGTCTCCTTCCGTAGGCTCTTCAGCAAAGCTGAGCACCATACCCAGATAACAGCTCTGCTGATATGCTCTCCAGCTAGCAGGGAACCTGGGCTCACCAACACCTCTGACCCTCATGGCCAGGACTCAGTTCACCACCTTATCCCATGCCTAGCCTCTGCTTCATTCTGCTCCTAAGCTCATCATCTTGTGAAAAAAAGTCCAGTGTCCTTCAGGTACCTAGGCTGAGCTCAGCTAGCCCCCACCCCAGCACACACCCATTAGTTTCTGAGTCCGGTCCCAGATGCCTGATGCCCATCTGACCTGCTTGGCCCATTTCCACCCAGCAACCCTGCCCTGCACTTCCCACATGGCTGGCAGGGCCATCCTTCCTCAGTGCAAGCCAGCTGCCCTGCCCTGGCTTTCACTCTTGCCAGGGCAAACACTCCCTCTGCTTCCTGCCCCTCCCTCCGCGCCCTTTGCTCCAAAGAGGGTGAGGGCCCCTGGAGTCCTGAGTCACACAGCATCTGCCCTTCCCCTCCTCCTACACCTGCCCACCTGTGTTTCCAAACCTGATAAGCTCTTGGGCTGGCAAGGGCCCTTCCTGGGGTTTCTCAGACCTCTGGTGCACCTTTCCCTCTCACTGAATTCTGCTTGGTTTCTCCCATAAGACCTAAAGACTGCATCTTGTTATCTCTGCAACCTTGGTGACTGGCAGTATTCTGGCCCCTGGAGGCTTATTAAATATTTGCCGAATGAATGAATGAATATGCACGAGGAAGGCAGGGGCTGGAGGCTCAGCGCGGGGCAGTTCTCCTCACCACCCTGGCCTTGGGCTCCAGGCTCTTGTGTGGCAAATAACAGAGCCCAGTGGTGGCAGGAAGAACAGCATAGCTGGAATTTAGACCTCGGTACACAGATCTGACTCCTGTCCGCACCAGAGGTCTGCTTTGGCATTTGTCAACCAGAAAAGGGTTACCTCCGGAGAGAAGCCTTGGAAGGAACCCAAGCCCACTCTTCGGTGTGCACCCCCAAGTATAAGTGGAATGCCTGCGGGGAAGCAGCGGTGCAGAGGCAGTGCCACTCGCTAAAGGCCACACGGGAAGCCGAGACAGGCTGGGGGACCTTTTCCTGTCTGTTGTTCTGCACCCCAGGGCCCAGCCATAGGGGCAGCGCCAGGGAGGCCAAGAGGCGAGACCTGAGCAGCTGCGGGTTGACGAAGCTGAGCAGGTCCTGGATCAGCTTGAAGCAGGCGCTGATGAGTAGGTTGGAGCTGAAGGTGGTCAGCAGGACCCACAGGAAGGAGGGCTGCTGGGCCTGGGGTCGGTCCCCCAGCAGCACCTCGCCCTCCACGCAGACTTTCTTCCCAAGAGCTTCTGCAGCTTCGGACCTGGTTGGGGAGGAAGGGGCAGGAGAGGAGTGGACACCAGGTCTCTGAGTCCAAGGGCTGGCACTGAGGAAGGGGAGCCGTCCCTCTGGCCTTCAGAACTGGGTGGGCAGGGGACAAACGGCACGAGGATTCCCAGGTGACCCTGTGGGCAGCTATGGGAGGGTTTCTGAGGGGCAGACAGACAATCGGCCCTGCTCTCCCAAGCCTGTGGCCCTCCCTGCCTCCCCAGGGGTGGCTCCCAGGAGGATCCGAGGGGGACAGGGCAGCCAATGGCCTAGTCTGGCAGTGGAACAGGGTGAGAGTGGAGAAGGCCCTCCCAAGCCATGAAAGCCAAGATGCTGCTACCAGAGCCTGAATCCCTAGTGCCTCCGACAGCCAGTGGCCAGCAGGGGGTGCCGGGCTGAGTCAGCCTGGACTGGTCAGCAGGGCAGTGGGTGTGCGGATGGGGAGATTCCAGCCAGGACGCAGAAAGGAGGGGGCCTGAGCTCAGGCAGGAGAGGGCAGTGGTGGGAGCAGGACTTCTGGGCCAGCTCTGACACCACCAGCTGGGGACAGCATTAGACCTCTGGTGCCTCAGTGTTCCCCTGTGTCTCACAGGGGCAACAGAACAGGCACTCTGGGGCTGTGAGAGATTAAACATGTTCCCTCAGTCCCAAGGACAGCGCCTGGGACAGCAGGCCCCGGCCAGCGCTGTCCTGAGTGGTTGCAGTCAGGGGGCCCCGGGGAAGGCCTCACCCTGCTGTTTGTCTTTCCTGCTTCTGCCAGGCCTCCAGCATCTGCTGCACCACTCGGTGGGAACAGTCGTCCTCGTTCAAGGACCAGAGGTCCTTTTCTTCCAGGGGACGCCGGTAGCCGAGGATGGCCAGCCTATGTGGGTGGGGGAGGGGACAGAGAGCCCCTCGAAGGCTCAGAATTTAGCAACTGAATTGGGCCAGGGTCTCCACAGCCCCGAAGGTCTCCAGAAAGTGGGAATCTTCCTCAGGCGCTTGGAGAAGGGGAGGTGTCTCCAATGCCCCCACAGGCAACAGATTTCAGTGCTGTCCCCTCCTCCCATCCTCCTCTCCAGGGGCCCCATCTGTCCCCAGGCTCTGGTGATAAACTCCTTGTTGGGTGAGAGGGATTCAGCCCCAGATTCAGCCCCGGCCTCAGGTGTTTCTGGTGCTATGAGGTTAATCAGTTGTCACCAGGTCACAGACACAATTATCCTGCTCAAGCCACTCCGAGGGGCAGCCGAGGAGATGACAAGCTGCAGTATCTCCCAGACAGAAGGGCTCAGTACAGATTAGGGTCTCTTCCGGTCCCTGGGTCTGTCCCTGCGGCTGCCAGATGCAGGGTTGGCTTCTAGCCCACGAGCACAGCTGGGCCAGGCCTGGTCTCTGTGCATGCTCAGCCGCCAGCCCTGACATCCCTAATCTTGCCCAGCTGGGTCCTGGGGTGGGGACACGAGCAAGGCCACCTCAAGTTCCTGTCCTTCCTCTCCTGCATCTCTCCCTCCCTGTGGTCCAGCTTGGAGCAAGAGGGCAGCTCACCTTGTGAACCACCAGAAACACAGGCGCGACAGGAAGCCAGCACTGGCCTCTGGGCAGGGGTTCTAGGGGCATGAGAATGGAATAGGGAATCAGTGGTGTTCCCCAACTCCTCAAAGCGGAGCAGGTAAAGGGAGGGCCTCACTGCTTCCTGCTCCCAGCCTCAGTTTACAGATTGTGGCCCTCTTTTTGGAGGAATGGGGGTTGCTGATATGGGCTGGTTTGAGGAGCAAGCTATGGAGCCCCCGACACTCCCCATGGAACCCCACACCCTCCAGGACAAACTCACAGGGTCTGAACTCTTCGGGGAGAAAAGTGGCGACTTCTCTCTGAAGCAGGACAGGATGAGGGCGGACAGCACCAGGGCAAAGTAGATGTAGAAGGTGGTGAAGCGGAAGGGGTCTGAGATGGTCCCCTGGGGAGAGCCGAAGACACCAGGAGGCTTGGAGGCCCTGCCTGCAGCCCAGGCCCTAGAGATCCCCTTCTTGGGGTGAGAGAGTTTTCTGGGCTTCTTTGGGTTGAAGGCAGCCCTGGGGGTCCTCGGGGGCCTCATCTAGAGGATTCTGGAAGGAGGGGAAGGATCGTGGGGACTGTGGCCAAGTAAGGCACCAGGCACTTGCCAGCACTTGCCCTGTACCAGGGCACAGCCTACAGCCAGAGAAACTTCTTTGCAATGAGGACTCGAGGTCATGAAGGGTTAAGTACCATGCCAGGATCCCACAGGGGGTCAGGGATGGTTTGGAAAGAATGGGGGTCACAGCCCCCCACCATCAAGAGCAGAAGGAAGGCCAGGAGACCAGAAAGGAGAACAGAACAGCAGATGGTGGGGGGCTTTTTATGCACTGACCCCAGCACCCCAGGCAGACACTGCACTGGGGGCAGGGTGCCTTTTGTGTTCCCAAGAGCATCCAACAGTGTAGCATCTTTGACCCCTCTTCCGCCTGCCTCTCCACTGAAATGTAGCCATTGAGAAACAAAACAGAGGAGGTCCTGGGGCTGGGGTGGGCGAAAGCACCTCTGCAGGTGCCCCGCCCCCAACACTTACCTCCGCCCTGGCAGAAAGGATCTTAGAGCGGAAGGGGACAATGGCACAGATTACACACAGGAACCAGAAGATGATGAGGACCCCAGAAGACCGTACCCCACGCAGCCGCTCATACTGGATCAGCAGAGTGGCCAGCACCTGTGTGGGGAGCACAGCCCTGGATCCACATATCTGGACGTGCACCCTATATGGCTTGGAGAGTCAAACCCCCCTCCTCTTCCCGGGGCACCCGCCTTCTCCCCAGAGCCCACAGCTCTCCCATTGCCATCCACAGCCCATGGGTCCAACCCACCCACCTCCGGGGCCCCACACTGACCATGGTGATTCCCACCACTAGGGGGGTGATAAAGAAGACTGGGGCAGGGGGTCTGCCATGGACCATGCCGTGGAAGGAGTAGAAGAGGTCTGCCCATGAGACGCACCACAGCAGGACGCCCACAGCCTGTGGACAGGGCACAAGTTGGAGCTCCCATTCCTAGAGGCGGGACAGTCTCTCCTGGGGAAGGAGCTTTGCTCCTGAAGCCATCAGAAACCACCAGACCTGTCTAGACCTGGACCCAGTCCGGAAGTGGCTCTGGGCAGAAGCTCCCTGGGGTGGGGTGGGAAGCTCCATTGGGACTGAACGGCAAGTGACTTCCCCAGGGAGGGAACATGTCTTGGCTGGCTGCAACCATGGCCCAGAGCTGCAGGGCAGGTGAGGCAGGGGACACAGTCCAGCTGTTGGGTGGGGGGGGTGAGTTTGGGGTGCCACCCCACCAGGAGGAGACCCCTGAGCCCTGACCGTCTTGAGCCTGGACAGGTGGGAGAGGACGATGTAGCCATTGTGGTGGTGCCTCAGGTAGAGCAGGTCGAAGGGCAGGGCAACCCACAGATAGATGCAGGGGACCCAGGCCAGCAGCGAGTTCTGGAAGCAGGGAGTGAGGTCTGGGCTGTCTGTGTACACGGACAGGTTGGAGTCCTGGGGACAAAGAGGACAGTCCAGTGAGGTGGCAGCCTCCTGGGGAGCTGGTTTGATCTTCAGGAAAGTGGCTTCCCTAGGAAGGCTCTCGGGCTGAGGGGGCGGGCGAGAGGCCAGGTGTGTACACGGTGGGATTGGAAAATACAGGGAAGCTTTACACTAAAAGATTTATTGCTGTGAAGCACGCATTACTGTGAACCCCGCTCAGAATACCCCTCTTCGAACACTGATCCCACTGTCTTCAACACTTTCTGGAAAAGTTCCGAATGTTCTCTTTCCTGAATGTCTTTATCTGCCTTGTTATCCTGAATCGATTCAACAACACTTACTTTTTGTGATCATTTCGATTTTGGGGAAGAGCCAGAAGTCGCCCGGTACCAGCTGTCATGAGTAGGGTGCGTGGGAACACAGCCCAGTGTTTACCTGCTTTCCCCTTGCCTGGCACGAGGTAACAGCATTCACTGGATTTTTGATCGTACCTTGTAAAGAACCTCAGGAAAGGGGACTCTAGAACTTCAGGCAGTGGCAAGGCCATGGGAAAGTGTGTTTGAAGTAAGGGGGAAGATTTTGAAGGAAATTAATTATCTGTTTGGTTTTGTTTGTTGTTTTTTGAGATTGGAGTTTCATGATGTAGTTCAGGCTGGTTTTGAACTCACTTTGTAGCGTAGGTTGGCCTCCAGCTTGCAGAAGTTCTCCTGCCTCAGCCTCCCGAGTACTGGGATTATAGGCTTGTGCCACCAAGCCTGGCTAGCCATGTGTCTTTTACTGAAATAATTGTTTTAATTTAAATACACATTGTAATGGCCATGAATGAAGGCAGGCAGTTTTCTGAAGCTGTTGGTTTCAAGCAGGAGCCTAAAGAGGTATCTTTCTATGGTCTTTTGGCTGTTTCAGAACCTTTTTTTTTGGTAACAGAGCTCCAACTCTCAACCTCGCACATGCCAGGCAGGTGCTTGTGCTGCTGAGCTAAATCCCTAGTCCTGTTTCAGAACTTGAGAAATGAAATGATCCATTCATTAGAAAGAAACAACTTGCCCCACTCTGGACGTGAGCCCACCACAGTGGCCCAGAAGAGGACATGGACCCCGGTGAGCCTGCCCCAGGGGCCAGAGGAAAAGAGCCCCCCACCATACCCAAAAAGCCAGGCCAGAGGAGCTGAAACCATTCCCCCAGGGTTCTTCCACCAATGTGGGGGACGGACATTGATGAGTGCTGCCCTGCACCTCTTGGCCACCCCGGAACCTCGGATTGGAGGAGCCAGGTGCCTGGCCCCATGCCCTGCACTGCAGAATGGGCAGCCTATGCAGGAAGCACCTGGGACTCAGCAACCGGCTGATTGGGAGGAACACAGGAAAATGTCAAGACGAAGGAGAAGGAGCGGGGTGCAATCTCAGATGCCCAGCCCACCCAGAACAAGTTCCAGAGAGGCAGAAGGAATTAGGAGCCGCGCACCTGAAATCTCTGCCAGGACCGCAATGAAGTAGTGAGACCAGTTAGTTTAGTGCTCTATTGTTTAATGGATTTTACATGCCTGTATCTCACCCAGAACAAGTTCGGGCGACATAGATACAGAGGAAATTGGAAGGCACACACCTGGGATTTCTCAGATGACGGCAACTGAAGTAAGCAAAGTACTTGGAGCTTGTGCTGTCTGCCTGATGCTGCCTGCCTGGTGATCTGAGCACCTATTTAGGGGTAACAGTGTGCATTACTGTAACTATGATATGACTGATTTCCTACTGTCTCGTTTTTGAAACCAAATATCCATTGTTTCATCTTATTTTGTTTTATTCTCTTTAAAATAAAAAAATAATAAACGTACACCTGTTAGGAGCCACAGAGATGACTTTACTCAACTCTCCTTGAAAAGGAGAGTAACTGTCTCCATTTTGGATAAACTTGCCCGTCTCTGTGTATTGATATGTACAGAGGTGGCTGGGCTATTTCTTTGTCCCTTCAATTGGCTTTAAGTGATATAAATATGGGTTAGCTGAGGAGCTGCTGTGTAATCTCTAAAGCAAGGTGACAGGTCAGTGTCAACCACTCAGTGACTCCCTAAATACGTGACTGAGCCAAGGGGGATGGAGAGCCATGCTCCGCGCGGTTGGCTGGGACCGAGCCTCGAGAAAGAGGCTGTGATTTCCAAGGACAAACAGGACCATGCATCAGAGCTGAAGCACTGAGCCCGGATTATTAACACTGCCTCAGCTGTGTAATGCAGATTACCCTTCGCCGGTCTTGGACTCCGCGTTGCAGAGGTGACCTCAGGCCTCCTACCCAGCCCAGCTCACAGTAGCCGCAGCAGTCAAACATTTCCCACTGCTCTCATGGTCACTCGTACCTGAGCCACTGCCCATGGAGAATTAACAAACCCGGGCCGGGCTCTGGGTTGAAGCTTTTGTTCCGGCGAACCACCATCTTGTCTGGATTTAGGACCCCTTGGCTCCCACACCTGTATATATGTCTCAGTGTCTTTTTTCTCACCGTGGGTCACACTGGAAGCGGCAGATTGGAATTAACTCACTAGAATTCCAATAACTTTCCTTTGGTATTACAAATATAAACCTTCCTGCACCACGAAAGGGTGGGAAAGGCTCTCTGGATACACCGTCTGTTTTGGCCACACCGTGTACAGGAGGAGGTGGTCAGGTGTGGGCCGGAGGGGTCCCCAGGAGTAGTGCTGGGCCCACTTTCTCAGAGGCTTTCTCTCCCCTACCTGAGGTGCAATTCAGGTGCAATCAGCCTCATGCCTTGAAAATGCCCAAATCAACCGGTTGTTTATACCCACAAAACCACGCCCACGATAAAGACGGCAAATATTTCCATCCCTGCTGCCCCTTTGTACCCTCCTTGACTCGCTGTCATTCTAGATTTCCACTCTTTTTTCTAAATTAAATTTTATCTTATCAGTGTGACAGGCACACAGTTTGGGTCTCCCATATTTGTAAATCTCTCCCAGCCAGGGGACAAACAGTTCCCCTGGACTTTAGCCTTGGTTTCCTCTAAAATAAGAGTGGCCACACCCTGCCTATCAACCTTGCTGGTGGCTTGAGATTTACAGATGGGGAGAGATCTTTGCAAATTACAAGGTCTAGGGTGGCTGGTCTTATTTGAAGCAAGACTGTCCTGGAAACTGGTCTGTCCTAGGCAAAGGGTGGTTGGTCACATGACGGGTCTGTCCCTGGCTTCTTCCTATAATTGTACCTAAGAGATTTTTTTTGGGAAAGAGACTGAAGGAAAAATTGATTCATAAACACGTTTCACTGAGATTGCTTCCTCCAACGCTGCCGACATACTAATCTTTTTCTTTCCTTCTTCTTGCAAAGCATTAGCTGTTCTTTATGGAAAGCTCAGAAAATACAAATAACAAGAAAACCACCCACGATCCCATCTACCTAAAGACAACTGTTGCCTGAGGATATAACCACTTCCCTTCTAACTGCCAAGTTAAACAATTTGCATTTTAATTTTTATCCAATTTATATGTGCGCATAAAGCTGCTTTTCCTTTTTTGTTTCTCTGATGCTTTGGTTTGATTTCTGTTACTCAAATTGGGATTTTCTTCAAACGTGGGGTGGTTCTGGGAGCTTTTTTGTCTATTTTTTCCCCCTCAATACTGCAATTGTAGGGGCTGGGGATTTAGCTTAGCGGCATAAGCACCTGCCTTGCAAGCAGGCAGTCGTGAGTTCGATCCCAGGTATCAATAAAAAAAAAAAAAAAACGAAAAAAAAAATACTGCAATTGAACCCAGGGCCTTTTGCATGCTAGAAAAGCACTCTACCACTAAGCTATGCCTCCAGCCCTTTAGATTCTATATTTATTTGTTGTCAAAGTGGTAGGGATTAAACCCAGGGCCTTGTGCATGCTAGGCAGATACTACTGTTATTTTTTTATTTTGAGACAAGGTCTTGCTAAGTTGTCCAGTCTGGCTTTGACCTTGAGATCCTCCTGCCTCAGCCTCCCAGGTACTGACTCTATAGGCATGCTTCAGTATTTCCAATTAAGCCACCAAAGAGCTGATGGATACCCAGTGTGTGGGGAGGGACTTGCTCACTGCAGAGGGATCCTGGAGGAGCCTGGTCACTTAGGAATCCTCTGCAGGAGGCAGACACTAGGACCCTTCCCTAGGCTTGAACCTCCAGTGCCCTCAGAACCCACCCTCTCCTGGTCCTACCTGTCAGGATCCCCACTGCCCACCAGACGTCCTTTGCTGGGACGTCTTGCCCTTCCCTCTTCTTCCCAGCAGGCACTGCTGCCTGCTGTTCACAGATGGCACTGAAGACCCCAAAGCCACCCCAGCAGCTCAGCCCCGCCCCGAGCCTCGGCCCACGCTTCCTGCTGTCTCTCAGACAGCTCCCACCTGTCCTCAGCCACCTGGTACTCAACATCTCCATCCCGTGCAGGACCAGCCGGCTTCTGCCATGTTCCTGCCCCTCCCCCACGCCCTGGACACCTGGGGACTCCAGGTGCTGGGGGCTCTTGAGTCCTGGCTTCTCCTCTCTGAGCCACTTGAACTCAGCAAGGTGCTAACCCCTCGCTTCCCTGGGCCCGGGGTTCTGCAGGGCTCATGGGACCATGGCACTCCTGCAGGTTACCCCTCCCAGCCGGCCTGTGTCACTCTGATGTCACTCTCCTGCCCTCAGGGTGCTGATCTGTTCCCTTCCAAAGTCCCAAGACCACTTTCTGTAGCTGCATTCCCCACCTTGGCATGCTCTCCCAGCCTCATGGGATGGCTCCAAGCACCTGCCACCTGCTTCCACCCCTCAAGTCCCCAGTGTTGCATCCAGCTGCTGAGCAGACATCTCCACTCAAACGCGCCCTTTCTTAGCCTACAAAGATGAGCACAGTGACCATTTAGTGTCCCTCCTCTCGCCCATGACCCCTCTCTCTCTGCCTCTCCTGCCCCTTTGTGGCCTCTGGCCTTATTGTTATTCCTGAGCACAAGCTGGGCATATTCTGGCCACAGGGCCTTTGCATGTTCTGTTCTCTTCCTGGAATGC